GACCATTTAGGTACATATTTGTACTTTGTGAAAAGGTACCACCCAGTGACAGCTCGCGCACCTTTATTTCTGAAAGTGTACTAACCAATACACAGCTAATTATTAGTTTATTAAGCTAGTAGTGTTAGTTAATGGTTTGTTAATACCATGAATTGTGACCTAAAGTGTTACCTAATGTTCTTTGAAGATATGTGGCTAAAAGTTTATCAGATTAAATTACAAATGAACATTATACTGGAAGCATGTGTATCTCTGCTAATGGCAAATGCAAAATCTGATCTAGCGAATTCATAAAAGCGGTATCATAAATTTTCCTATAGCCGTAGTTTATTTTGCCAGGTAATTCATAAGTAAAAACAAGTGATATACAGATAATATCAACCAGGTTTGTATAGCTTTACTCACAAACCCCTCGATCACATCAGTCTTTAGAGTCTCAAGACAGCTCTAAATATGAATCTATACAGAAATCAACTCACTATAAACTAACAGGCTTACGATAGGGACCCGTTATATCCACATCTGTGTGGCAGAGCAGAAAGAGACTTGAGACTGCATGTGTATGTGTGTTATCGACAGCGAGAGCTCTAAATCAGGCTCAGCACAAGATCTCCTTATCACACAGAAGTGCAAAGAGCAGACAATTTGCTCTTTGTTTCTTGTGATGTTGTTGGTCCTCTTATGAACTCACTTCTGAAACCTCCTGAAGAGAAGAGCAGAGATGGAGACCAGAGGACCCGTCTGCCAACAATGCTGCCGTTTTAAAGCATGACAAAGCAAAGGGTGGAAAACTCATTTAGGAAAACTCACAAATAAGCAAACTGACCATACTAGCCCACCACCAGAGCACACTGACAACAATGCTAATTATTATTATTATTATTATTATTTAGCATTAGTAAATTATAATTATGCAAAAAACAGACATCAAAAACAAAAGTTCCACAGATAAATTAATTTACTCATTCATTTTCCTACGGCTTAATCCCTTATTTATCAGAGGTCTTCACAGCGGAATGAACCGCCAACTATTCCAGCAAATGTTTTACACAGCGGATGCCCTTCCAGCTGCAACCCATCACTTGTTAATATGTTCTCACATTTACACATGAACGCAACAATACACAACAGCCAATTTAGTTTATCCAATAGCGCATGTATTTGGACTGTGGGGGAAACCGGAGCACCCGGGGAAAACTCACGCCAACACGGGGAGAACATGCAAACTCCCCACAGATATGCCAAATGGCCCAGCCGGGACTGGAACCAGCGACCAGGTGACAGTGCTAACCACTGAGCCAACGTGCCGCTTAAGTTAAATTCAAATAAAAATGAAAAAACTAAATGGAAGACATTCACAAGACTCCAAAATACAGGTTCATAATAACTTACAATAGATAGAGCTTTTACATTTGTTAACAAAAACCTCATATAAGGGGAAGATTTTGAAAGTCTGCATTTGTGGTAAAGAATTGAACATTTAAAATAATAAAATTGACATTTTTCATCATCATTTTCAAAATAACAAATATTTTCTGTGGCATTTAATGTTATGGGTGGCACGGTGGCTTTGTGGTAAGCACTGTCACGTCACAGCAAGAAGGTTGCTGATTCTAATCCTGACTGGACGTTCTACCTGTGATGGTTTCCTCCGGGTGCTCTGGCTTCTCCCTCAGTCCAAAGACATGTGCTGCTGCAACATAGGCTCATTCTGAAAATGTATCCCTATACATTTCTGGAGAATGTGAATTATGAAGCCAGTATGGCTGCATTTCGTCTTCAAAATGAATGCTAAGGGCAGTATGACGCCCTTTCTTTTCCTGCTTACCAGCTGACCGCTTACCTCTGTATGAACGGCTTCATCAGTTTGTCCAGTTGTCCACGATGACAGGGTTCGAGTCCGGTTGGTTGGGCTTAGTAGCAAAACAACCTTTCCACAATGATTGCAGACTGCCAATCAACAAATAAGTGAAATAAGGATTTAAAAAGAAAAAAACAATTATCAATGTCTAAAAATTTAGAAAGTTAGTTTGGGTATTTTAGGCCAGTGTTTCCCAGCTCTGTTCCTGAAGGCGCTCCAACAGTACACATTTTCAACATCGTCTTATTCAAAAACACCTGAATCAAATCATCAGAACATTAGAAGAGACTCCAAATCCTGAAAAGAATGATTCAGATAAGGGAGACATCAAAAATATGTCCTTTTGGTGTGCTTCCAGGATCAGGGGTGGGAAACACTGAATTAGGCTACAATGAAACAACTTATGTAAAAATGAACAGCATTGTTTTGACGACGGTGGCAATTGGGATTAAGTAATTGAGTAGATTAAACCGCTGTATGATACCCATCCATCAAGGCTGTAATATAGATTTTTTTCGGCCCACGCTTGAGTATTTTCACCTCACCACTTCACTTCTGCGTTTGCGACCGCGACTCTTAAACTGTGCGCTGCTGCCCTCTGCTGACGCCATTGCGAGTTGCAACTACAATCTTCTATCGACTTTTATACCTATTTGCTTTATATATTTAATTTGTACTTAACATGTAGTAAATTTAAATCCCTCACAACGTTCTTATTCGCTGTTAAAATTAATTGGTGACACTTTAGAACAATAGTATTTTAGTTAATGCATTTACTAACATAAACTAAATATGAATAATCTTGCAGCATTTTTATTAATTATAGTTCTACATTAATGCATCATTAAATTCCATTGTTGTGTTTGTTACCATTAGCACTGTGAGACTAACATAAAGTTATTTCATTTAAATAACATTAACTAAAGTTAACAAAGATGTATATATACCGTAATTAAAGTACTAATTTTGTTCGTTTATTTATTCATTTTCTTTCAGCTTAGTACCTTTATTAATCCGGAGTCGCCACAGTGGTATGAACTATCAACTTATCCAGCACGTGTTTATGCAGCGGATGCCCTTCCAGCTGCAACCCATCTCTGGGAAACATCCACACACACTCATACACTAAGAACAATTTAGCTTACCCAATTTACCTGTACCACATGTCTTTGGACTGTGGGGGAAACCGGAGCACCCGGAGGAAACCCAGGCCAACACAGGGGGAACAAGCAAGCCGAGGCTTGAATCAACAACCTTCTTGCTGTAAGGCGACAGCACTGCGCCACTGCGTCACCCTTATTTGTTGTTCATATTAGTAAATGCATTAAGTAACATTAATTAATGGAGCATTATTTTAAAGTGTTGCATTTAATTCGTCATTGTTTGCAAATTAACATTATATTGTGTAGCGTCTATGTTACTTGAAAAAAAAAAAAAAACTTGAGACATTTTAAACAATATGCTGCAGACCAGCATTCACAAACAAATTCAACACAGTTCAATACTGCCAAGCCGAGGATGTATATTAAGATCAAGTCAGATCAGAGTAGCAGACGCACTAGCTGACAAATTTCCACAACAACTTGAAGAGATGAGAGAAGTTAATAAAAAACATCTAATTTTATAATGACACAATTTTTGTACATAAAGTTGTGTAATGACAATTTTTTTTCAATTTTTACAGTCAATCTCATAAAGTATTATAGTGAGAAACAACAATTAAGCAAATGTTAAAGTAATTAAAAAAAATGTTTGGTCAAAATAAATTTGTAAAAATAGTATGAAAGGATAAAATATTTTATAATAAAGTATAAATAATGTCATTTTAAATGCGAAAAATATTTGATTACATAAATATAAAATACATGTTTTTCTAATAAAAATACCAGACTCCAAAAACAAATGTTTCATTAATTTATTGCTATATGTTTTGAATGGCCATGGCTGTACTGGAACAATAAAATTATATTTTATTGTAAAGCATGCTCAACATATACTGTATATAGTATAAAAGATTATACATTCACAGAAATTATTTTTATCAAAATTAAAGTAATAGGTCATACAAGAATACAAGAACACCAAAATTGAACTAGTAAAATTGTGAAAACTAAAAAATTGTAGTGTACACATTTAGACGGACATAAGCTCTTTTTAAATAAAATGTTAAATAAAATATTAAATATTCTTAAAATAATTTAATAAAATTACGTTTTTTAAATAATTTAAATCTTTAACAAGATTATTTTCAGAATAACAAATGACATAATAAAATATATGATATTATACTAAAAATCATTGCATTTAAATCTTTCATTTAATCTAATATTTCATATGTGAAAAACATTTATTATTGTCTTTTAAAACATTTTTTCTAATTTAACAACAGAATTTTAAATTCACTTTTAAAATACAATTACAAATCGCACCTAATAATAATACCCATATCATGGATTTAAAATGATAACACATTAATCACAAATTGGCAACACAGTGGCTCAGTGGTTAGCACGGTCGCCTCACAGCATGAAGGTAGCTGGTTCAAGCCGAGTTTGCATGTTCTCCCTGTGTTGGCGTGGTTTTCCCCCCACAGTCCAAAGACATGCGCTATAGGTGAATGGAGAAACTAAATTGGCCGTAGTGTATGAGTGTGAATTGAGTGTGTATGGATGTTTCCCAGTACTGGGTTGCAGCTGGAAGGGCATCCGCTGTGTGAAACATTTGCTGTATAAGTTGGTGGTTCATTCCACTGTGGCAACCCCTGATGAATAATGGGACTAAGCCGAAGGAAAGGGAATGATAATCACACATTTAATCCATTAATAATAAACAAATGCAAATAAAATAGACAATAAAATATAAGTACTGAAGTGTGGGGTGGGATGCCGTATAATCATCTTTAAAATCTTGTGTTTTGATTGCATTTTTTATTTACTCAAGGTTTAGATGCTGTAAATGTACACTTGATTTGAATATGTCCTTTTCCAAGCAAGCACAGAATTTTAATAGCATCATTTAATAAAACAGAACTTGTTTCCCAGTACTGGGTTGCAGCCGGAACGGCATCTGTGGGGCGCTGTGTAAAACATATGCTGGATAAGTTGGCGGTTCATTTCGCAGTGGAGACCCCTGATTAAAGGGACTAAGCCGAAGGAAAATGAGTGAATGATGCATTGCAGAGCATTTTTTGGATACACTGTTCCTTTAAGTCTCCTTCTGTCATATATAACAAAGCAAACAAACTACAAACTGGACGGTAACTAAACATTTATCGTGTTAATGCTTTAAAACAGCGCTTTAGGGCGCAAAATCGCTTAATTATCTGATAATGGACAATTAACGTGCTGCTGGTGTGAAGAAGCTCTTTGTTGTTGTGCGCGCGCGCGTCGATCGGACCAGAGCCTTGTGTCGTGACGTCACCGGCACCCTTTCCGACACTCGGATTAAAGATGGCGCCCTCTCATGCGGTAAGATGCTGTCAGCGGGGTTTATCCTGGATACCTGTGATTTTCATCAACCTGGTCGTTTGCTGGTCCTACTACGCGTACGTGGTGGAGCTCTGCATCTGTAAGTGGCGACTTTTATCGACTTGATGAAAATAAAAAGTTGCTGGTTTGTTGTTACAGCGGTTTGGGTAGGAAGTGACAGTAACTGACTGGTACCATATACTGTGTTGTGTGTATCGAAATTCTGCTCGCTTTCTTAATTTAGTTTTTTTTATATGTGTGTGATTTTTTTTTTTCTTCATGTGGGCATTTTAATTAATGTATGTTTTGTGTGCACTGTGTAGTGTTCATTTAAGCGTTAAGCCCAGCTGTTAAACTGATTTGAGATGCTTTATACTTATGGAGAAGATTTGACAACCGGACTGAACGTTACTGATGAGGACGAGAGTGTTTTGTTTGTTTTTAATGACTTGTGCCTTGCTTGGGTGCGTTTAGAAAGCAAGCTGTGTCTGTCAGAAAGTTTTCTGACTTGTGGAGTGTTTTGTTTTTCATGAATCAGATGGGAATATGACCTGTCAATACACATCAGTGATTTAAAGGGATAGTTCACCGGAAAATGTTTACTGTTTACTGTCCGTCGTGAGGTTTAAAACTTTATTACTTTCTTATTTCTGTTAAACACAAAAGAAGATACTTTAAAGAAAGCTAAAAGCTACTGTTTGAAGAAGAAATGTGGAAGCCTGTAACCATTGACTTCCATTGTCTGGAGGTATGACATACTATGGAAGTCAATGGTTACAGGTCTTGGCGTTTGGCCTAAAATCAAAATCTTGATCATTTGAACATTTTAACTTGATTAATTAATTAACGATTATTTTGTTTATTTATTTTATGTTTTTGCTCTCATAGTTCACTGACAAGTTTTGTACTGTAAATATGCTCACATATTACAAGTGAGAGATTTCTGAATGAAGGGTGCGTTGCTTGATTTTAAAATAATTGAAGTAAACCCACACACTATCTATGATTATTCATTCAACATCAACAACTATTAAAACACATAATAAAATGAAAAAAAAAAACACATTGCCTAAAACGTGCCTCTCCACACCACCCACCTTCCTCGGTTGTTGCTAGATCGGATATGTATGCGACCAGAAGTTATTTATTTATATTATTATTATGTATTATATTTAATTAATTTCCCATTTATTGTATTTTATTAACATCTACCCGCACCCCAACCCTAAACCCAACCATGACAGTAATGTAAAAACAGTAGTGGTACCAATATTATTTATGCTATCTAATAAATTACCCAATAAATCATATTTTTTAACTTCCACCTTAACCCTAAACCCAACTGACACAGTAATGTAAAAATATTAATTATTGTTAGAAAGTGTCAGAAAAAAATGCTACTGTATTTCGCACTTCTGGCTGGCTGCGTATCGATCCAGACTTTACCACCTTCATCTCCTCTACCAAACTGACCAATCACAAAGCTTGTGCTACATGCCATCGTGATGTGTAGTTACATTTTTTGAGAGGTGTGTGAGTATGCGAAGTATAATATAGTATAATAGTTTGGCAGAAGTATAATATCAGAATAAAACAATAAATATAAATCATGTGACTACACACATGGTAGGGAAAGTAATTGAAAAAATTGACCTGGAAGAATTGGATAGATTATAAGTTCTCAATGTCGATTTCTTACTTGTCGATTAATCGTGCAGCCCTATGTTACAGGATTTGATATTTCTTCAAAATATCTTATTTTTTATGTTCAACTGAAGAAAGAAATTCAGATAAGTTTTAAAAGTGCATAGTGTGTAAATGATGACAGAATTTTCATTTTTGGGTGAACTGTCCAATAGTGTGAAATGCTTTTCTTAATAAATAGTTTTTTTTTATTCTTTCAAATGTCTTTATAGTTATCATATTTGCCAGTAAGCTATTTTGTAGATAATATGTCTTAAATGGGAATTCTTATGATGAGTTTTTAAAAAGTCACACTGGATAATGTTTAAAGACAGGGTGTCTGCGGAAGTCAAAGTATTAAAAAATAAATTTAAGGCCCCTAAAAAGTACTAAAAAGTTTTAAATTATATTTTGCATGGTATTAAATTTTATATCATTTTTGATTATGTAATGTATGGTTTGCTAAAGTTTGCCTGAATTAAATCTGCGAATATCAGGATGCTGTGTAGTTTAACCCTGCTAGATTTGACATCATGCTGCTTTGTTTACTGCAGTAAGGTAACAAAGTTTACTCTGCAGCTCTGTAGCCACCAACCTGCTGAATTAGCTATATTTAATAGATTTTTATTCAGTTTATGAATAATGTTTTAGTTTTCAATTAGTTTCTTACATTAAAATTGAGTAAATATACTGTAATTTGAAATCTCGCCAGTGTTTCTGATTGAAACCTAAAGTGGTTTTAAGGTCTTCAGATGTATGGAAAGAGTCTTAAAAAAGGTCTTAAAGGTATTGAATTTCACTCTCTGATTCCTGTACATATCTTTAAAAGATAAAACATTGAGCTGTCCTGTTAAGGTGATCAGATATTTATTTCTTACATATGAAGTGTGAGACTTTAATGACTGAAAGCATCTGTTCTGTGAAGTTTTTTTTTGTTATTTTTTTAATTGTTAACCACTTCACAGTGAACTCCACTAAACTCTCTGTAGTTCCACCCAGTTATTACTTTCCCATCTGAGTCTAAAAATACTTCATTGTGTGTTCCGGGTTCATTTATTACCCTAGTAAAGTGCTGTAAGTTCTTCCTTATTGATACCCCTGCTCTGTTTGCCATAAAAGTTTGTGGAGTGTTTCAGAAATATGATGGCCCTATAACAGGGACAGAAATTATATATCTGTGTTGTCTTTTGGATCAATCACTAAAATTTAACCAACTTATGTAATCAATTAGGGGCAGCATTGTGGCTCAGTGGGTAACACGATCACCTCACAGCAAGAAGGTTGCTAGTTTGAGCCTCGGATGTGTCTGTTGGCGTGTCTGTGTGGAGTTTGTATGTTCTCCCCATGTTGGCGTGGGTTTCCTTCGGGTGCCCTGGTTTCCCCCCACATGTCCAAAGACACACGCTATAGGTGAATTGGTTGAATTAAATTGTCTCAGTACCGGGTTGCAGATGCAAGGGTATCTGCTGCCTGAAACATATGCCGGAATAGTTGGTGGTTCATTCCGCTGTGGTAACCCCTGATATAAAAGCGACTAAGCCGAAGGAGAGAGAATGAATGAATGAATGTAATCAATTGGATAACTAAACTGTTGACAGTAGTAACAACAGAACAAATTATTTTAAACTTTATAATTGAAATGTATGAAAGGAATTTCTTACAGGACAGGAGTCCCATATTGTGACAAAACATTTTATAGAATTTTAACTTTTTTTTTAACGTATTATAATCATCATTATTAATGTCAATTAATACAGTGCATATAATGACGCATTGTAATTCGGCTATACAAACAAAATATGTCAGTCCAAGACAATGGTGGGAGATATGCAAAAACTCCTGGTACAATCACTTCAGCTAGAATTTTGAATATTAATTTTTATATTTCACTTTAATCATGACAGCCATAACAGCTTGAACTTGATCGGATCAACTCTTAGGTGCATTAAAAGAAGGGAATAAAAACACCATTTTAATTTTTTAATTTTTATATTTTGTCAAAGTAGTAGTCATTTTCATTAATTAAATGCAAAAAGCCAGAACACCTTTTTATTTGTGCTGTTACATAATTAAAAACTTGGTATATTACTTAAAAAAAACACATATTTGGGTTTTAATATTAGTAATATTCTCATAAAACTTTAAGTAGTTGTAAAAAATCATAGATGGATAAATTGTAAAAACAATTCATAATAATATCCCATTCATTATTGTTAATTAACAAATATATAATTAATATATTCATTCATTTTCCTTTTAGCTTATGCCAAGTTCAGAGTGCATGATTTTAGCCTCGATTTTTGACTTGCCAACAGGTTTTGAGAAATGGCCGCCAAATGCCTCAAATCACATGCAAATGCCAGCGGGAGGTTGGGGGAGAAGTTAAAAGTCCTCATTTTCAGTTTATCTGGACCTAAGATATGGAAGAAAAATTGTGTAAATTTGGTAGGAGCACCCGTGTCTGTTTGACGTGTCGTGAGCAATACCACAACCGGGTCAAAAAAGAAAGTTGAGGAGAAATTGCTAATTCCCTTCAAACCCAGGTGAGCAAATATGTAAATTTTCTACCCCATTAAATGCTTCTTTCTCGTTATGTAGTTAATAACAAAATATATACTACATGTTTTTGACTGTGAGATGTAGTTAGGACGAAGTTGTCCGCAATTCTTTCTATTGTAAAGTCATGCAATGTGAATCCCCCGGTCGCCGATCCATCTTGCAATGTAAACAAAGCAGCGACAAAACGCTAGCCCAGATAGTCATGCATTGTGAAAACATTTGTGACAGGACTACTTTGAAAATCATGCAGTCTGAACTCAGCATTATTCCTTTTATTAATTCGGGGTCACCACTAGGGCTGTGCGATTTGGGGAAAATATCTAATTGTGAATTATTATTATTATTATTTATTTATTTTAAATTTTTTTGACAGATATTGTGATTTTTTTTTTTTATTTCTTTATTTTTTTTTTTTCAATTTGATTCACGATTTATATTTGTAGTCAAGCTTCAGCTTAATAATCTGTATTGTAGCTTCTTACTGCTAAAATTCAGTAACTGGAACTGAAAAGATATCAACTTATATTAGCAAACAACTCTGAAATTGTACTTTGCTAGCTACTAGATTGAATGTCACTGGAAATACTTTTACTTAAAATTTTTTCAGGTGCTGTTTTTTTTATTTCCTTATGCTGTGGCAACAATTCTGCGACAGCTCTTACAAATGACCTGCTTTTGTTTGACGTCTGTGACTTTGAAACCAAGATATTCCCATATTACCAGTTTTTCTTTGATCATAAATTTGTCTATTAATGCTTATTAATGCAGATGCCATCATCCCACCTGTTTGCTCATTTGTGCGTGTTTGTTTTTTATTGCGGATGTGCTGCATAGTTCGTTTGCGCAATTCTGATCGGGCTGAACGAAAGTGTGCTCAGTCAATTGGCTAGTAAGACTGTCACACACAGACAGCAGTCATGCATTTGCTCTGGGTGGGGGAAATTAAATAATACATATATATTTCATATCGCAGCCTCTGCCGATCAGCTAATCGCAGTTTCAAATCGCAATTTGCGATTCAATTTTGATTAATCACACAGCCCTAGTCGCCACAGCGGAATGAACTGTCAACATATCCAACATATGTTTTTATGCAGTGTATGCCCTTACAGCTGCAAACCAACACTCATACACACTCTTTCTCACACACATACACACACACTACAGGCAATTCAGCTTGTTCAATTGACCTATACAGGGTTCATACGGTCATAGAAAACCTTGAAAAGTCATGGGATTTTGACATGGTATTTTCCAAGCCTGGAAAAGTTTTGGAAAATCAGAAAAACCCACAAAGTTTTGGAAAAGTCATGGAAAACAGATATCTGTATACTTGAATATAGATTAGTTGTCTTTACTATTTTTCTGTCCAAGGTCAATCACATACTCCCACATTATTAGTGCAGTGTAAGCATGATCTATTTTATATCTATTTCTATTTTATAATCTATTTTACATAGATATAAATATAAGCTGAAACTAAATAGACATTCAACTTGTATTGTTTTTTACCACGCATATGTAGACATTGCCTGAAACATTGTCATGAAAATTTACTTGAAAGTTTTGGAAAAATCATGGAAAAGTCATGGAATTTTAGTAGTTAAAATGTGTATGAACCCTGCCTAATGCATATGTCTTTGGATTGTGGGGGAAGCTGGAGCACCTGAAGGAAACCCAAGTGGACATGGGGAAAACATTCAAACTCCACACAGAAAATGTCAACCAATCCAGTCAGGGCTCGAACCAGTGACCTTCTTGCTGTGAGGCGATTGTGCTACCCACTGCGCCATCATAGTTCTTAACTCTAAATACTTCATAAGACTCATTCACACCAACATTGATACCTGCGATGAAAACTAATTTAGTGGTGTACCATTCTTATGTATTTGTAGAAGTGTGTCTTTACCATTATTGTTACCGTCTAGTTCTCATCTTGGTGTGAAACGGTCTCATTTCACTGACTGTGCCGTCAAGATTTGCATCTGTCAGTCACTTGTTGAGTCGTCATGACAACTGGGGTCTTCCACCCGTGATGGACACAGATGGCAGTACCAGTCGCCTGGTGCGCTGGCATTACTGCGCTTCCCTAGTGGAAGCTGGAAGACAGAGAATTAGCAGTATCTCAGCACTCAGCAGATGGCTTTGTGAAATGGGCCAGTTGTTCTTGATGGGATTGCTGATTGCCCTTTGCTTCTTTTCTCCCTGCAGACACAATCCCGAACGTGAACGAGCAAGGTAAGAGGAACGCCAGTGAAAGCAAGCACACAATATTGCAAAAGCGGTTGACAAATCCTTCTGTTGGCTAATCTGGCCTCCTGCTGTTCTCGGTCACATGTTTTATCACACCAGAATGAACTAAAAAAAAATCCCATTTAGGTTATGAAGTAACAGCTTTTATTGCGTGTGTGTTATAAACTGAGTATGGTTTGTTGTTTGTTTCTCTTGCAGTTATTTATCTGGTAGTCTTTCATGCTTTTTTCTTCATGTTCATGTGGTCCTACTGGAAGACCATCAGTTCCAAGCCTACAAACCCCTCAAAAGAGGTACTGTCTTGGTTTGCTTTGTCTCTTTGATGTTTTTTTTATTGTCTAGGTTTGCCTCAGGAGTCAGATCATGCATTGGAGATCAAACGATGACCCAACAGAATAACCAGTTTTTAGGGCCAGATTTATCCAACATTGCACATTATTTGGAAGTGCATTCCCTTTAAGTGCTAGTGGCAGTGTGGAAAGTTTTGCAGAATATCCTTAAACAATTAAATAATCCAGATAAAGCAGCTCATTCTTATAATGAACAAATATCATATTTGTTTTCATAATGTGCAGTCACTTTAGTAAATCCTGACAGTTCTTCATGCCAAAATATGGGTAGTTTGGCACAAGCTCTTTGGCTCTTAATGTTTTATGTAGTCTTATTTAACTTCACAGGTTTAACTTCACACTCAAAAAAATAACTTTTGCTGTTTGTTTAAACTACTGATTTACAAAAATGAGCCAAAACAGCACAATTTTTGAGTTTTTTTTTTTTGGACAACTCAATTGTTTTATATTCAACGAATAAATTAATGCGATTCTGTCATGTTGTCAAAATACAAATTGCTTGTGTGGAATCCAACATTTTTTTAATGTGCAGTCAGTATAATTTATCACAGATATGAGATTAAATAAATAAAATATTACACTATCCACACCATAAGAAATGGTTAACCTATTGAATTAATTTACATGATTCTACATAATCAAAGTTTAAAGTTGTAATTCTTTTAATTAATATCAGAGATTGTGTCTGTTTTGTAAATTTTTCTCATTTATTGTTTTTTTTTTGATTACTTTGGAAATGAAATTTTATTTTATATTGTGTATATGTAGTTAAAATACTTTGACAGTGCTGCAACAAAAAATGTCATTCCAATGAAGCAACTTGAACTTGGCACCCAAGTGCCAATTACCATTGGTAGAAAAAAAGTTGAACTTTTGAACAGTTTGCCTTTTTATTTCTTCTTATTTGGTACAGTGTTGCTATTGCCAACTAAAGTATTAATTAAAAGTACTTTTTGGAAATTGAAATAAAGCTAAATATATAAATAATAAACCTGAAAATGGGACTTCTCATGTATTAAAGGGTTTGTTTACCTTAAAATGAACATTCTGTCATTAATTACTGATCCTTTCTCACATTGTTCCAATCCCCAGAGTTTTTTCTTCATCTTCAAAACATGATTTGAGATATTCTAGATGAAATTCAAGAGCCCTGTCATTCTCCATAGACAGCAATGGTCCAGAGATGACCAGCCTCCAGAATCGCAGCCTCAAAAATTGTCCAAACATTTCATGTGACTTCAGTAGTTCAACTGTAACCATATTAAGCTCCAAAAACACTTTTGTGAGGCAGAAAAAACTAAATACAACTTTGTTTGCCTATATCTTCTCTTCCGCATCAGGTCAGCCTGCTCATTAAGGTCAGCAGTGCAACACCAAGGCAGTGTATTGCCCTAGTAAACACCCTGACCCTTAATGAGGAAGGCTTTTTTCATTGCACAAAAGTTTTCCGGGAGCTTCATTTAGTCGAACCCCTGAGGTCACATGGAATGCTTTGGCAGTGTTTTTGGCTCCTCTTCTGAACTTAACCTTTAAAGTTCAACTTGAACTTGAACATGAGAGAGCTCCAGCATTTCATCTAAATATCTGAATTTGTGTTCTGAAGATGAACGAAGATCTTAATAGACTTGAACGGTATGAAGGTGAGTAATTTATTACAGAAGTTTAATTTGTGGGTGCACTAACCCTTTAAGTGCTTTTTTGTTGCCACAGTGTGAACAGCTTGTAAATAAAGCTTAAAAAAACAAGAGCTTGCATAACTTTCTCGGTTGTCTGTAGGAGCTTGTTTTTCAAGGGTTTATGAAGTATACATCAATAAAGATTAGAATGTTGCTGTGAAAACAGAGTGTAATATATAAAGCTCAAGTTGCTTACTGAAAAACAAAGCTACATGTTTTATTAAGTAGAAAACCTAATAAAAATGTCAAAAGCAGACAAAACTACTAAAACTTTAAGATAAAAGCTGAAGAATGAATAACTAATAATATAATAGTATTTAAATAGTTCTGAAATGACAATCCATTGGTCAAGATCAGGTTTGTTTTCAATTTCTTTTTATTCATACTGTCTGAATTTTCTCAGGTCTCATCTGGGTTGTGGTGGAACAAATATTCCACTGTCATGTGTACATTTTTAGCTATATGCTAAGTGATGTTCCTCACATCTGGAGGAGCAGCAGCAGCAGTCTTTAAACTCTGTCGGCTCTGTAGTTTTAGTACCACAGAATGTAATGACAGAGAAGAAAGGGGAAGAAAGGAAAGAATTGATGTTTTTGCGTTTTTAACTGCCTGTGGGATGTGAGGTGTGGTTTAGAAGTTAGCACACATGTTCAAACACACACACAGAGCTGATTTAGACTATTTTTAGTGTAGCTTATAAATTATGACAGCTAAAATAATGAGTTTGTGTAATATTAAGATTTCTTGACATTGGTTGTATACGGTATTTATTTAGATTCACATTGGTCTATTGTCACACACATCATCTCCGGCTGACATCCTGTTGTCTCTCTTAGTTCTGTCTCCCTAAGGCTGAGAAAGAGCTGTATGAGAAAGAGGAGAGACCAGAGGCCCAGCAGGACATCCTGAAGAGAGTGGCCAGAGAATTACCTATATATACATTCACAGGATCTGGGGGTACGGTCAAAAACAACACTATTAATATCTCTGTCGATTTGTTTGAAATGTTGTATAGGTAATGAATGTTTGTAGATCTCTTGTATACAGTTTAAGTCAGAATTATTAGCCTTCCTAGATTATTAGCACCCCTTGTATATTTATTTCCAAAATTTCTGTTTAATGGAAAATTTATTTTTCAACGTAATAGTTTTAATAATTGATTTGTTTTATCTTTGCCATGATCACAGCACATATTATTTGACTTAATAGTTTTCAAGATGCTAGTATTCATTTTAAAGTGCCATTTAAAGGCTTAACTAGGTTAGTAAGGTTAACTAGGCAGGTAAGGATAATTAGGCAAGTCGTTGTTTAAAGATGGTTTGTTCTGTAGACGGTCTGAAAATAATGTTGCTTAAGAAGGCTAATAATATTGACCTTAAATAGATTTAAACCAATTAAAAATTACTTTTATTCTAGCAGAAATAAAACAAATAAGACTTTCTCCAGAAGAACAAATATTATCATAAAAACTGTGAAAGTCCTTGCTCTGTTAAACATCATTTGGGAAATATTTTAAAAAGTTCACAGGAGGGCTAATAATTTTGACTTCAACAATTTTTTTTATGTATGTTTGCTGTGATTTAATGTAATCACAACCAAATCAAAACATTAAGTACTGTCTTTAAAAGAGTCTTAATGTCCTCAAACATTTAAACAATTAAGAATCTGTCTATTTATACTCGCTTGCCACTTTATTAGGTTTCACTTGTGCCAGGATGAACCTGCTTTTGCCTTCAGAATGTTCTTTATTTTTGAGTCATAGATTCAACAAGGTGAGGAAAACATTTTGGTCAATTTTTATGATCTGCACTCTTAGATTGAAGCCTGGTGACTTTGGAGTCAGTTGAGTTTATTGAAATCGCTGTCATGTTTATGAAACTAGTTTGAGATGATATGAGCCATGTGTCGTGTTATCCTGCTGGACGTAACCATTACAGTTGAAGACGACATTATTAGCCCTCTAAATATTTCTTTTTAACATTAATTCATATGAAGTTTTTCTTCTGGAGAAGACTTATTCTTAAGTTTGTCTTTAATAAAAACAAAACATTTAAAAACTGGTATGGTCAATATTATTAGCCCCCGTAAAGTATAACTTGACTTGATGGCTACACAACAAACTATTGCTGCCCAATGGCTTGTTTTATTAAGGCTTTAAATTGCACTTAGCTGAATACTGGAACCTTGCAAAATAACTTAATAATAATATTATGTACTGTCATCATGGCAAAGACAAAAGTATTAAAAATGTATTTAAAAATTTTATAATTTCTCTGTTAAATAGCACTTGGGAAATATTTGAAACAATTTGAAAGGAGAGCTAATAATTTTGTCATGAAATGTTTGTTCACTGTGGTCATAAATGGATAAAGATGGTCAATGAGCAATACACTTATCTGATACATGGTTTGATGTGTTTGTGTTCAGATGATCTTTTGCAGACCTTTATTTTATTCACTGTTGCTTTTCTATCCGCTCAACCATTCTGACATCAACAAGGCATTTTCATCCACAGATCTTCTTTCGTCCACTCTCTTGAAATGGTTGTGTGTGAAAAATCCTTGTAGATCTGCAATTTCCTGAGCAAATATGCCACGATCATAGTCACTAAAGTCACCTTTTCTTCATGCTGATGCTCAGTTTAAATTTAAACAGAGATTTCCTAACCATTTCTTCATGCTATATGCACGTAGCTGGGTTGTAATTGAGCGATTGGAGATTTGTGCTAACAAGCAGTTGAACAGTACCTAATAAAGTGGCCGGTGGGAGTGTTAAGTGTACTAGTTATAAATATCATTCCTCTTTTCTTAGCTATCCGCTACTGTGACCGCTGTCAGTTGATCAAACCGGACAGATGTCATCACTGCTCGACCTGCGACAAGTGAGTTTACTCAGATAACATGGTTATCTTGTTTTAAGGCCTGTTCAGACAAAGTACAATAACTATATATACAACAATAGCTTTAAAAATCAATCTGAATGTTAATCAACATCTGAGCTCAGACCACAGCTATAACGATGATGAAGATGTAGACAAACAATATCGTTGGGATTACTTTTAGAAAGATGATTTTCTCAGACAATAAATGATAAAACACTGACAGCCAATCAGAATATATTAAAATATAAAGGTCTCATGCAATTTAAAGCTACAGTAGATGACATTGTGAAGAAGCTCTGCTGGCACATGCAAGCATATGCTCTCGCACATGCATACACACAAACACATACATACACACCTGTGAGTGTGTATGTATGTGTGTTTATTTATGCATGCATGGATGTAGAATATTAAACCTATATGTGTGTATGTTTGTTTGTGTGTGCAGCTATATGTTTTGAAAATTGACTACTTTAAGAGAGAACATTTTTTTGTAAATCTCTCATTTAAGTGGTAATAAAACATATATGTGATAAAATGCTTTTGTTTAAAAGCAAAGGCTTGGTTCTTTTTATTCATTTACAGTAGGGAAAATAAGTGTTGAACAAGTCACCGTATTTCTAAAGATGCTGTTGACTTAAAAATTTCACCTGATGTTGGTAGCAACCAAAGAAATATATATGCAAAGTTTACAAATTATGTTATGTGTAATAAAATGAAATGTACACATGAAGAAAGGGAGGTATAGAAAGGCAGTGAAGGAACAGACAGCAGCTGAAATCTCTTACAAGTTCTTCAGCAACCCTCTGGGCTTCCTCATTGTAAATGAACATTAGCTGCTTCAGTCCAACATCTACATTAGCAGGACATTTCATTAGTGGACATTTCAGCAAGACATTGATCCAAAACACAGCCAAGGAAACTCTCAAATGCTTTCAGAGAAAGAAAATCCAGCTGTAGCCTAGCCAATCACCTGACTTGAATCCAATAGAAAATAAAAATAAAAGATCAGATTTGATAGATGAGACCCACAGAACAATATATATATATATATATATATTTTTTTTTTTTTTATGTTTGTATTGTTTGGGATTTCAACATCTCCTTTAGAAATATTTTTTTTTCCAGGAAAAAACATGACGTGTTCAATACTTATTTCCCCCACTGAATATTATGCTCATACTCCTAGCAGAAAATATTAGCATATTAGGTCTGTCAAACTTGGGTGAAAATGATCAAAAATGCTGGTGGTTGCTGGCAACTTTGTAAAAAAAAACAAAAAACACACACACATAAAGTTAAAGATAGTGACTGTCTAGGATACGATAATAAAATACATGGAAGTTATGTAAATTATTATGAATAAAAGTACCTCAGGTATCCAGTGCTAGTTTTGCTTTTGGTTCATTTGAAAATAGTTTGTTTTTATTCCACTAAATTTGCTACGATCGCTAAATGTGGATTAGATTGATGCTTTTTAAAATAAAGATTACACAAGCTGGATTCACTGGTTAGATACTCTACTGAGAACATCTGCTGCGTACAATAAGGGCAAGGAATGAAAAGCATAAGCTAAAAATAAACTGATTATTGTTTGCCAGTGTGGATGTGAATACATTTATAGTTATCGTGCTTTGTGCAAACAGGCCTTTACATTTGCACAGTATTTATATTTTGATCATTTTTATCTTTTCCAGATGTGTCTTAAAAATGGATCACCACTGTCCATGGTAGGTGCACTCGCATGGCAGAAGCTGTGATTTATGAGCTCAAGCTACTATGCAGATTGTGAGTCTAAGCTTTGTCTTTCAGGGTCAATAATTGTGTTGGATTCTCCAACTACAAGTTCTTTGTGCTTTTTCTGGCCTACTCTATGCTGTACTGCGTCTACATCGCCGCCACAGTATTGCAGTACTTTATCAAGTTCTGGACCGTAAGTGCACACATTCACACACAGACATCTGATTCCTCGCATCTCCCAAACTTCTCACCTTCTGTTATTTCCAAGCAACAACCTCAGCCTGTCTTTCCATCTGTCTGTTTTTGGATGCACGGAAATTAATTGCAGATAGTCTGAACGGTATTGTGGAGGATGCTGTACGGTCATGGGGTTTATTTTCTGATGCTAATTACAGTCTGGTAAATAAAAATGATTTAGCTTATTACATCCTACTTTAATACTCGGGTATGTGTGAAAAACCTAATTTGAGTTTCACTAATATTATTACGCAAAAACAAAACTGCAAAATGACAGAGATAATAAACAAGCTGATATAGATTTTCTGTCTAATACTGTGTATAAATCTTTCCATTAAACAGCACTTGGGGAATATTTAAAAAAAAAATTCTAGTTTCACAAGAGGGCTAATAATTTTGACTTTAACTGTGTACATACACTACCTGACAAAACTCTTGTCATTGATCCCAGTTGTAATAGCAACAAATAATAACTTCATCATTTGGAAATATGGCAGAAGGAAGATTTTTTTTCAGATGAATCATCTGTTGAACTGCATCCCAATTATCACAAATACTGCAGAAGACCTATTGGAACCCGCATGGACCCAAGATTCAAATAGAAATCAGTAAAGTTTGGTGAAGGACAAATCGTGGTTTGGGGTTACATTCAGTATGGGGGCAGCAGCCTGTGGTATCCAGACATTTGTGCTGCTCATTACATTTCAAACCACAGGAGAGGGCAAATTCTTTAGAAGAATAGCGCTCCTTCTCATACTTCAGCCTCCACATCAAAGTTCCTGAAAGCAAAGAAGGTCAAGGTGCTCCAGGATTGGCCAGCTCAGTCAGCAGACATGAACATTATTGAGCACATCTGGGGTAAGATGAATCATTGGAGGCATTGAAGATGAATCCAAAGAATCTTGGTGAACTCTGGGAGTCCTGCAAGAACGCTTTCTTTACCATTCCTGATGACTTTATTAATGGATATTTGAGTCATTGCAGAGTTTTATGGATACAGTCCTACAAGCTCATGGGAGTCATACACAATATTCATTCTTTTTCCACTGCATCATGACTTTATATTCTATACTGTACATTATTTTCGTTTAGTGACAAGACTTTTGTCTAATCGAAGTCAGTCCTTTCTGTTCTAAATAAATAAATAAATCAAGGCATGATCATATTTTATTTTGGTAAAATCAGTGTAATATAGAGACCTTTTGTCTTTCTTATAGACCACTTCTCATACCAAATGATTAACTAGAATTCAAGTTGTTATTGGATAGACAACAAGACTTTTGTCAGGTAATGTAGTATTTAATCAACTCAAGATATTGTTTATACATAAATACAGTGAAAGTATTTTCTAGTGCTTCCTTTTATTCCATAGCAAATTGAGTAAAATGTTAATATATATTTTATTATTATTTTATTTATTCATTTTTTTATTTCTGAAAATGGAGGTTGGTTAAAGTAACATCGTTAAAACATTGGTATTTTGTCTGAATTTTATTTTTATTTTTTGTAAATAATTCTTTTTGTAAAATATATTTTAATTGCATAATGTTGTATGCTGAAAAATGCTTCTTGAACGCCAAATTTAACCTATTTCAAAAGGATCAACAAGGCAAGTTAGATTAATTATGCAAGTCATTGGAAAACAGTGGTTTGTTCTGTAGTGTCAAAGATATACAATTAAATAAAGACAATTCTCCTGATGAAACTGAAATTTAATTATATCTCTGACTCCTGGTCTTTGTCCATCTTACCGGGTTTTTGGGTTTAACTGTTATTCCCCTAATAGTTTAAAGCACAGGCACTTATGCGCTTTTTGATATTTTTGATCAATCAACCAATCGGAAAAAAAATCGTAAGAATTCTTTAAGAAATCTTAATAATATTGACCTTTAATTTTTTTTTTTTAAAATTCGTATTAATAACTGCTTTCATTTCAGCCGAACAAAAAAACTTTCTCCAGAAGAAAAAATATAGGAAATTATTAACATATAAATTAAACATCACTTGGGAAAGTTTGCAAAAGAATAAAAATTTCACAAGGACTAACAGCTTTGCCTTTAGCTGTAAATTAAAATAAAAGTGCTGGGCAAAAATTTATTGCATCCGAAATAAAAGTTTGTTTTAACAATGTATGTGTGTGTGTGTGTGTACTGTAAATATCTATTATCTTTATATAAATACGCAAATGAATGCATATATTTGAGAAAATAAAACCTATATGTATATGATACAATTTTATTTAAATTTAAATATCTATGATGACAAAATAGTTTTGTTTCTATGTACAGTATGTGTGTGTATCTCATATATATATATATATATATATATATATATATATATATATATATATATATATATATATATATATATATATATATGATACACATCTTATTTTCGATGTGATTAATTGTGATTGAATTTTGCCCAGCACTACAAATACAATTTTTTTTTTTTTTTTTTTTGATAGGCACCAATGTATCAGTATATATTTAAACTTTATGTTTTACGTAAACATTTCAATATTTGCCATGAGGAATTAGTCTGCATAACATTTCTTGAGACACAGAAAAACAGAAGGAACGAAGTGTGTCTGCTTCTAACATTCTGTCTGTTTTTAACACTTTGTCTGAAGCTTTGCAGACGGAGGGCTATAGAGCACTGCCCCGAGGTAAACCACTCACGCTTCCTTTGCACTCTTGCAATTGGTTTGTTGCTGCACTGTTGACTCATTTTGCTTTGCATGCTGTTGCTGAAGAAACAAACAGCTGTGTTGAAATGAAGAGCGTAGTATATTAAATGAACACAGACGCTTTTTAGTGGCACGACAGTAGGTTTTTACCAGAAATGATGCTTGTGTAAATGCAGTTAGATTAATAGGTTTATACAGCTATGAAAGTTCTTTATTAATAAAAAGCATGTTGTTGTTGTTGTTGTTGTTGTTTTTCAGTGATTTTAAAATATTTTAGGTTGTGCATTGCAGCATTAGCTGACCAATAATGTTGACCATAAGCCTAAACAAGGTTTTTTTTCAAGCAAAGAGAGTGTCTATTCCACTGCTGATCCTAGTTGTGCAGAAATGACACACTTCACCTTCAGCTAATCGGTCAATCCCGTGTATGTGGACTGTATTTTAAAAAACTAAGCCTTGCAGATGGTCAAGTAAGCTTGATTATTCCTTTTTGGTGAAATGAAATGCTGATCTACGCAATCCCAGGGTTCCCACGGGACCTTGAAATCCTCAAAAGACAACATTTAAAGGCCCTGGAAAATAAACATGCACAAATACAGGTTATTGAAAGTGCTTGAACACTATATTAGTATAATAAATATATTAGTATAATATCACACACTATGTTAGTAAATTTGAGGGTATTGGAACTGAAATGTTCTTGAATTTGAAGTTAACCAAGGTGTGGGAACCCTGCATTGAGATGTTTGATGAATGAGTGAATTTTCTTTTTTTTACTGCATGACAGAATCAGCTGCCTGACACTCATGCTAAGTTCCATGTGTTGTTCCTGTTCTTCGTGGCGGCCATGTTCTTCATCAGTATCCTGTCACTCTTCAGTTACCACCTGTGGCTTGTGGGGAAAAATAGAACCACTATAGGTGAGATCTGCTGCCGTTTTGTTACATTAAATTACTCTTGGGCCATTGAAATGATGATTTCTTTATGCTTCTGCTTGATCATTTGTTCAAATACCACTCTGACCTGTTCTTCAGTTTCCCTCTTACTTTCCTAATCTTCTCCTCTTTTCCCTCCTGCCCTTCTTATGCCCGTCTTATGTTGCACTGGTATATTTTTCAAAACTGCCAAAAATGCATTGTGTGAATAAATTATAACTTTTTCTATTGTGCAAAAAATCATTTAGAATGATTAGAATATCAAAGGTGCAGCATGTAAGTTTGAACCCCAGTGGTTTAACTAGGCATTGCATTTCTGGATCAAAACAAATGCAAGCACAGGTTGCCAGATTGAGGACCAACAGGAGCGAGTTTGACGATTGAGCCTGAAGGCTGATTTAAATAGTGTTCTAAATAAAAGCAACGGCACGCGATAGGAGGTTTCATATTAGAAGGAGGTTTTGTTCTACAAAACACCAACTTCTCGAATTGATATATTAAAAAACGGCTTCTAATCTTTACAGCTGAACAACAGAACAATAGCCCCTTTCACACATACACACCTTTCTGGAAAATTACTGACAATTTTCCGGAAAGGTGTGTATGTGTGAACAGGCCTTTTTTGAAAATACCGGTAAATTCGTTCTGGCTATTTTCTGGAAAGAGAAGTTGTAACATTACCGGTAATTGCCGAAATGCTGCGCTGTGTGAACCTCATTTCTGGTTAATGATGTCAGAATTTACCTGTATTTTGGAATGGATGTGTGAATGCTCTTTTCCGGAAAAATTCCATAACGTCCTCGCCTGTGTGAACAGCGCTTTTTTGAATATACCGCTAAAGTCGTTCCGGAAATTTTCCATATATTTACCGGTATCACTGTGTGAAAGGGGGTATTGATTGCCTCAGGTACACCTCATGTGCTTTATTTAGCATTAAATGCTAACAATGTGAGTGAATGTCATTTTACAAGACATTTATTGCCATACTACTGAAAGCAGCAGCAGATAGTTCACCTCAGATCTTGAAAATAAAAGAACCATTTGAAATTGAACTTTTCAACTGTGACTAAGAGGTTTAATACGTATTAATTAGAGTATAAACCTTGCCATTTCGTGAGTGCACTTCACTATTTTCAAGACACTTCTATACAGCTTAAAGTGACATTTAAAGGCTTAACCAGGTTAATCAGGTTAACTATTCAGGTTAGGGTAATTAGGCAAGTTATTGTATAATGATGGTTTGTTCCGTATCTATCAGAAGAAAAATAGCTTAAAGGGACTAATAATTTTGACCTTAAAATTGTTTATTTAAATATTTAAAACTGCTTTTATTCTAGCTGAAATAAAACAAATAAGACTTTCTCCAGAAGAAAAGATATTATCAGACATACTGTGAAAATTTTCCTGCTCTGTTAAACCTCATTTGGGAAATATTTAAAAATAGAAAAAGCAAATTAAAAGGGGTCTAATAATTTTGACTTCAACTGTATATATCTCCAAGGCTAACAAATAAAAACATAAATGCAAAGCTTAATTTTCATATTATGTAAACCTAAATATCAGACAATTGACCCTTAGGACTGGTTATGTAGTCCAGGGTCAAATATTGTACCTTTTAGATTTGATCATAAATACCATATTAACCAGCCATTTATTCTTCAGGAAATATGTCTAATAAATAAAAATTATAATGAATAATTACAACTTAAGCTCTAATTACTTCCACAAGTTCAGGTTCACATTTCTTTTCCCTTTTAGTCCTTGCATCTGTTAGTTCTATACTTTGACCTATTTTTCTTCATCATCTCTTACTGAGGGAAACTGCAGTCACATGTTCAGACAACAAACAACACTGCTGATAGAAGTCAAATGTAGAGGAATGTGACGGTGGATTGTGGGTGTGTTTATGAACCATTTTTAGGTTAGACTTCAAGACCACTTCAATGTGTGCCCTACAAAAAAACGCTTTTACATCCCAAAGTTTGATGAAAAGTAGTGGTGTAAAGCACAAACAGACCTCATTTGAATCTCTCATCCTTCTCCTCAGAGGCGTTCAGGGCACCGGTGTTCAGAAATGGCCCAGATAAAAATGGCTTCACACTGGGTTTCCGCAAGAACATCACCCAGGTGTTCGGAGACCAGAAGAAATACTGGTGCTTGCCCATTTTCAGCAGGTACAAAACTCATTTATCAAGAAGCATTTGGGATTGTGAAATGTTCAAGAGGGGAGCTGTTGTTCTTTAAGTTGAAACAGGCTGGATGGAGAATTCTGATTGTTCATAGTAACGCCAGTGGCCATCCACTGAACTGCAACAGCATCTCTCTGCTCATTGTTTTTCATTAAAACAAGCAAAATATCTGCCAAATGTAAATCTTTTCCAACTCTGATATTTGGGGAAAAAAATCTTTTAATTGGACTAGAAACAAGACAACAATTATTCTCATAATAAGCTGCTGTGCTGTTTTTGAGATTGTTATAGTAGTTCAAGTCATCCTTTCTCTCTCTCTCTCTCTCTCTCTCTCTCTCCCTCTAGTTTGGGTGATGGTTACACCTTCCCTACCCGCCTAGTCACTGTTGACGTGGAGCATGGCAACATTGAACACCAAACCATTAAATGGTAATTACAGACTCATTCGTTAACAATAACGCTACTGACTTGATAGACGGTATAAATCTGCACTCCATCCTTTCCCTTTAGTCCATTTAGTTACATGTATTCCCTATTTAACCCCCCCCCCCCCCCACACACACACACACCAGAGGTCTGATGGACCCTTTTCACAAGATTGTTATTACTTGTTTAACGGTCATCAGCATGCTAAATCCTTGAAAGTTTTTTTTAATATTTAGGTCTTTTTTTTTTTTTTTTTTTTTTTTAACGTGTGAACTAAGGCTGCACAATATATCATTTTAGCATCGATATCGCAATGTGTGTGCAATGTGGAGTCAGGATTGTATTTGACCAGGTACAACCGTTGAAAACGCATCATAATCTTGGAGTCATTTCAATTTAACAAAGTAAAAAGTGATTTAAGGCCTCTGTAAACGTTTCAAGCAAGTTTAAAACAGATGAATTATGTTTGTAGTTTAACAAAGTTTAATTGTACTTAATTATTTACACAATGAGGGATATACAGCTTTATTGTACATTTGATTCTTTCATTTCTGTACCTGTATAGTTTTAGACTCCTTCATTTGTATATTTACTCTACTTTATTTCTGCTTGTTGTTTATTATATTTTATTTAAATGCTCGCCCCTACAAAATCATTACAAAATCATCTAAAATTAAGTTGATTAAGTGAAATATCACAATGTACATTTTTTTTTTTACCATCGTGCAGCCTTAGTATGAAGATTTATATGTAGATATTATACCATCTTTGCATCTAATTATAAAAAGACTAATTATTTGAGGTGCTTGTAATGCGCCGGACAGTAAATGTGGCATTATTCTCTGTTTTTGCTGCCGTTATCAGTCTCACGCAATTTGTTTTAACTTTTTCCTGCAAGTCATCGTGGAGTTTTTCTTTTATTAAAATATTTGTTGTACTCTTCACTGCACACTGAGAAACGCGGAAATGTAAATAATAACACTACTGTATAAATGTGCACTCCATCATTATCCCAACCCCAACACACACACACACGCCAGAGGTCTGATTTCCAGGAAATGTTGTCCTCTGTTAATAGCATAATGCAGTTGGGCTGAGGTTTATTCTGGGACAGTGAAGCCCTGATGTGTAAGTGTTTGTGACTGACACATAACGCTGCTTCTGGTAACAGCACTGTTGATGGACAGACTAACGCCAGACCTCTGAGTGAGTCTCAGAATCATCTGCTCTGCAATGATGAGGGCCAGAAGGACAGCAGCATGGCCGCCATCGGTATGTCAACATGCACCTCAATATCACTACAGATCATGTAATCAGGTGAAGGGAAAAATAATTAGCCCTCCTCCAATTCTTTTTCAAATTCTAATGTCTGATTAAGCAAGGCAACTTTCATGATATATCCAACACTGTAAAAATAGGCTGGATTCCACACAATCAATTTTTGTTGAGACAACATGGAGGAATTGTTAACTTATTAACTGTTTTATGTTCAATCCACTTAAATTCATAAAAACTTCCCTTTTCAAAAAAGCTGAAGAATTGTGGTGTTTTAGCTCAGTAATCATTATTTTGTGAGTGTATTATATGTATTTTAGGAGAGTCTTATTTATTATAGTTTGGCTGGAATTAGCATAATGGAATTATCCTAATTAATTTTATTTCTTTTTGACTGACTATAGAACAAACCACAGGTGTCCAAGGACTTGCCTGAATAACCACTTTAGACTGAATTCAAGCATCTTGCAAAATAACCAGTAAAGTATCATGTCCTGCCAAAAACACATGTGGATATGTATTCAAAATAACTTAATAAAACTGTTGTGTTTAAAAAAATTAAAACGTTTTATTTCTCTGTTAAACAACACTAGTAAATTGTGCTTTTCATGAGGTGATCTTGGAGAAAGTCTAATGATTTCCCTGAAGAAAATGGAAAATTCTGTCATCATATATTCACCATCCTCCTGTTTCTGAACCTGTATGAGTTTATTTCTGCTGTTGAACACTAAAGAAGATAATACGAGACATTTTGATCAAACAGTTGATTCTCACTATTGACTTCAGCAGTAGCATGGTATAGAAGTCAATGGTGAGCGATCATTCTGGAAATGAAGGGTTCCTACTCTTTCTACACATCCTGTTCAATCAAATAGGAATAAAGTGTCTGCATTCATGAAATTGACCCATCTTGGTTTGTCTTTCAGAGGTGTGTCAACCTGTTTGTGTTACCTTGGAGAACGAGTCCTAATCCAGGTGTGTCTTCATTATCCTTATTTATCCTTTATTTACTATATTGTAAGTGTTGTTATAATAATAGAAAAAATACCACACCTATTGTAGTGTTTATAACACAGAGGAATGATAATGTTGGAACCACTTTCAGAACAATATTGTCCAACTGTAGAATGATGATATTGATTATTATCATCAGTCGCTGTGGACGTTAATATAGTTATCGATTTAGTTATCATCCTCCATGTGAATAGGCCTTAACTTGGATTGAATGATTTTTTACAGTTTTCTACATGGTGTTTCACTTTTTTTTGTTTGTTTGTTTTTTGTATATTTTGTTAATGTAGATTTAAGCCCTGGTCACACTAGAGTTTGAGCATGCCAAATTCAAAGATTATACAACACTGATTAATTTTAGATTTCTGTACAGAGAGGTCATGTTTTGATTTCATGGGATCATGTGATGCAGGGTATCCACAGTCTTATAACGTCTTAATTTTCAAAAACACAATTTTAAGCTTTAAAAAGTTCTAAATTGGCTGAAATATTTTTTTGTATGTCTAAAATAATTTTAAACGGGTCCTAATTTTCCTTTATGTAAAGCAGGGGTGTCCAAACTCGGTCCTGGGGGGCCGGTGACCTGCATAGTTTAGCTCCAACTTCTTTTAACGTACCTGCCTGGAAGTTTCTAGAATACCTGGAAAGAGCTTGATTAGCTGGTTCAGGTGTGTTTAATTGGGGTTGGAACTAAAATATGCAGGACACCGGCCCTCCAGGAACGAGATTGGACACCCCTTATGTAAAGCTACCCAATCTATATTCAACAACACATCTCAAGAAAACTTTTAACATATCTATTCATCACTAATATTATAACTAGTCAGTTGTGCATACACTTAGTTTTTAAAGAGTTTTTTTTAAGTTATGTTAAGCAAAAATGTGTGTATACAAGCCTGGTCTGCTTGTTTTGACACATTATTTAAAATATGTGGCTAAGAAATAAGTACTTTTTTCTGCTGGGCTATTAAATAAAATTCTTAGCATTTAGCCCTGTGTAAGTCTGAAATTTCATTCTTAAAGTCATAAATTTGACTTGGTGAAACCTGCAGAAACCTTGTGATGCAAATTCGTCGGTTTGAGTTTACCAAATTTGAATGTTGGATCTTGAAACTTGTTACACAAGCTTGCCTTTCTGGTCTGCCGCAATTCAATGGGACAAAAACTGCAATGTAACTTTGGCTATATTCAAATATTATCACTTAGAAAAGGGGTGTCCAACGTCGCTCCTGGAGGGCTGGTGTCCTGCTGACTTTAGCTCCAACTTGCTTCAACACACCTGCCTGGAAGTTTCTAGTATACCTAGTAGAAGCTTGATTAGCTTGTTCAGGTGTGATTGATTAGGGTTGGAGCTGAACTCTCCAGGACACCGGCCCTCCAGGACCGAGTGTGGACACCCCTGACTTAGAGAATATGTTCAAAAGCGTATTTGCTTGCTTTCCTGCTCAGTTGTGAGGCATACAATGTAGGTTTCTCCATTCAATAAACCGCGCGGCACATTGAGCGCTTCTGTGAAAGTGATGTGGAAGAGCATGAGGAAGGAAAGGTCGTGATGAAATAAGAATGCAGCTGCTAGTAAGAGATCCATTAGTTGCTTCTTAACTGACCACTTGTGCTCAGATGCCTGAAAACTCTTTTTAATATCTAAATGTTTACTAACGGATACTTGAGTTCTGCTGAACGTAAAAGGAACTCATTTATTTCTATTTTAAACTCAAGTTTGTTCTGTATGTCCTTTCAGTTCTACAAACAAGTGTTTCATGCTTTTGTAAAGTGTTGGAAGCTTTTTTTGGACACTGCCTGACAAACATCTTGTCATCTATCCAAGTTTTAGGAACAGCAAATAATAACTTGACTTCTGGTTGATCATTTGGTATTAGAAGAGTTTTATATGAAAGGCAGAGGCCTCTAGATTACGCTTATTTTACCAAAATAAAATATGATCAAGCCTTGATTTTTAATTATTTAATGAGGACAGTAAGGTCTGACTTTGCTTAGACTAAAAGTCTTGTCACTTAACAGAAATAATGTACAGTATAGAATATAAAGTCATGCTGCAGTGGAGAAAGAATTAATATTGTGTTCGACTCCCATGAGCTTGGAGGACTGCATCCATAAACCTCTGCAATGACTCAAATCACTGATTAATAAAGTCATCTGGAATGGCAAAAAAAAGCACTTTTTCCACAAATGTCCTGATTCCTCAGGCTGTTGATGTTGCCATCCTCTGCAGATCTTCCGCACGCCACCATACTGAATGTAACCACCAAACCATGACTTTTCCTTCACCAAACTTGACTGATTTCTCTCAGAATCTTTGGTCCATGTAGGTTCAAATAGTTCTTCTGCAGTATTTTTGATGATTATGATGCAGTTCAACAGATGATTCATCTGAAAAATCTTCCTTCTACCACTTTTCCAAATGATCAACTAGAAGTCTAGTTATTATTTGTTGCTCTTACAACTGGGATCAGCGACAAGACTTTTGTCAGGTAGTGTACTGTTAAGCAGACTTTTCAATTGATTTGATGAGGTATTCTATGTAGAGACTTTATTTGTGGTTTTAAGTATAAGGTTTTCGTCTCAGTTGTTGGTTGAGGCAAAACTTGCTGTTTATGTCAGTAGGAAAAACATCATGTCAAAGTGTTGATGGTTTTTGAACATTAATCAAGGATGTTGACCAAATTTTTTTATTTATTTTTTTTCTCTCATTCGCCGTGCGGTATCAAACATTGCATGAAAAATACACGCTTAGAGCAGATCCTCGAATCAAATATCTCATTTGTCGCGAGGGGCATGAATGAATTCCCTGAATGAAAGAGCCAAACTGCAGTTAAAGTCCAACATTTAATAATTTGGCAAATAATTCGACTACAGATGTCCATGTAGGTTAAACACCATCACTTTCTCCTGTGTGTGTTTTGAATGAAACTTGCGCGTGCCCAAATAGACACTCCCACACCCTCCCACTTTAGTTCCTCCGACACTCCCCCCTAAACAGAGCTGGACACGCCCACTTTTGTGACTTTTTCCAAAGTAGAGGTGTGAAAACACCCTGCTGAAACGAGGGGGTTTCATGGCCCTTTAAATGTGATAAAAGTATGGAAGATCTAATAACTTTTGAAATAATTTGGTGTTGTCAGAGTTTCTGATGGAAATGTGCTGTTTTCTTTCAATAGGTTAACATATGTATAGTTATGAAATTAATTATATTTTTTTTTAATTCAAAGTATGTTCAGTAGATGGCGCTTTTCCTTGTTTGTTTAAACTTAGTGTTTTTTGTCTCTCTTTACAGGAGTTTTCAGTGGCACTGGGACATCTTTCCTCTCTTCAGGATGTATTGTTTCCTATAAGACCTCACGTGGAAGACCGCAGAGCCCTCAGATACAATGCCTTAAGGTTAGCATTATTTCCAGGAAAGACCAGTGCCCTGGTGGATGTTTATGTATCCGACTCTCAAGCTCTTCACACCAAACGGATCTTCATAACTCACTTTTCCATTTGTCCATCTGTCTGACCAAAATACCCTAAGATGACCTTCAAGTTTGATTCTTAGTCCTAAATACAATGGTTAATCTCGGGGACTGCTTTATTTGTGTAGGCCAAAAACTCAGTCTGGCGTTTTTACCCAAGATGCACTTTCGTGTGGAATGGTTTTGCAGATGTTTACGGATCTAAATTAACATGTGCGAGTGCAATGCAGTATTTGATCAGAATGTGTTCATTCACTACAGCAACATCACCTCAACTAATACTGTAGATTATGTAGTAGGTATTTGTTTGAGTGATAATTCAGAAGAAAGTGCAATGAGGCGTTTAATATTTTAGATAATTACAAAACTGGAACGCTTTATAGTGTTTAATAGCTACTTTGTTTATACATGTATACACACACACACACACACACACAAAAATATACCCGATAATTAACACTGAGGTTTTTTGTTTTAGTTTATGCCCATCAGCATTATACTATCAGCTTTGTGCCTTCAGTTCAAGGTTAGGATTTGCAGCAGAGGGTGTGAATCATGTTAAAGGGAAAGTTCACTCAAAAATAGGGTTAAGTATCGTCACGATTTTATCGATTCCACTTATCGATTTGAATTCTTATCGATTCGCTTACCAATTTTGATTCTTATCGATTCCGCTTACCAATTTTGATTCTTATTAATTCAACTTACCGACTGATTTAGATTTTTATCGATTCCGCTTACCGATTTTGATTCTAAGCGATTCCGCTTACCGATTTCGATTCTTATCGATTCCGCTTACCGATTTTGATTCTAAGCGATTCAACTTAACGACTGATTTTGATTCTTAACGATTCCGCTTACCGATTTTGATTCTAAGCGATTCCACTAACCGATTTTGATTCTTATTGATTCAACTTACTGACTAATTTTGATTCTTATCGATTCCGCTTACAGATTTCGATTCTTGATTTCGCTTACCGATTTTGATTCTAAGCGATTCCGCTTACTGATTTCGATTATTATCGATTCCGCTAACCGATTTTGATTCTTATTGATTCAACCTACCGACTGATTTTGATTCTTATCGATTCCGCTTACCGATTTCGATTCTTATCGATTCCGCTAACTGATTTCGATTCTTATCGATTCTGCTTACCGATTTCGATTCTTATCGATTCCGCTTACTGATTTAGATTCTTATCGATTCCGCTTACTGATTTTGATTCTTATCGACTCTGCTTACCGATTTCGATTCTTATAGATTCCTAGTTTCAATCCCATTGTAAAACATCATTGCAAAATCCTTTAGGCCCTGTTTATTAAGGAATTTGTTCATGTTTGTTAACCTTGTTAATGGAAATTAAGTTTTTCATGTTCATATTTTCATGCTCGCAGCTCATTAACTAATGCATTTGGATTTTAATAATGCGTTAGTACATGTTAAGCTATGATTAAAAAAATGATGAAAATGTATTATTCATTATTAGGTCATGTTAGTAAAATACATTAACTAATGTCTACAGCGTGACCAGCGGGCAAAGGAGACACATAAGGTTACTGATGCAACTTTTAAAATTTACAAGAAAAATATCTTATTAACAGTTCCAGATCAATTAAACACTTTATGAACATGCTAGTCTACTTCATGCATTAAATAATTTAATTATGAATTACATCATAAAGTACATGTCTAACAGACGGGGAATAAAGGTTTTACAGTTTTAATATGTATATGCTTATTTTAACACATTGAAAGTAATTTAATTATATATAACTGTTCAAAAACAATTTGCAAAGGATCAGGAATTTATCACACATGCAAAAAAAAAAAATAATAAATCACGTTCATCGCCATCATGTCACTTTTTCGAGGTTAAATTCGCCTCTGTGAATGCTGCTTTAAATAGAATAAATGTATTAAAAGCACATTAAAGACCATGTACATGAAATAAAGCATTTACAAAGCTGTATCTGATGGGAAAACACCAATTTATGGGCGCTGCATGGCTTTCAGTTTGAATAGAATGAAGCAGACTTAAAAAAAAATTCTGTAAAATTTCAGAAGAAAAAGATTAAACATATTGGGACCGTAAAAAAAGAACATTTTAATACTTCTTACATTTTCTGAGTTTATTGCAATGATTACACTTATCTTTGTTATCGTTTTCACCACATGTAATCTTTTGAGCACATGGACTGAAAGATGTGTAATGGGTGTGAGAGGGAGACATTTAAAACATGCAGTGTTGGTGCTCCTCCAGGAACATGGTCGAGAAACACTGGTTTAGATTATAGCTAATTTAAGGTTAATTTTAGGGCGCGACAGTTCCTGGCAGATTGTCTGTGAAGAAATAATAATGTGTGTACATACAGGAATCTAAATTTTTATTTTATAGCAAGTGTCCGATTCTTAATCTAAGTATTTGATTTTTTACGTTTAAATATTCGATATATTTAAATATATCGATTCCCAACCCTACTCAAAGATGAAAATGGCCTATTCATTTACTCAACCCAGACTATGGGAGATGTAGGACACTTTCAAAACTAAATGAAATCAATGCATTTATATTATTAGTTATTATTTATGTATACATTCCAAGTTGACTTGTAATTTTTGAATCACCAGGGACCACAACTACAGCAAAAAAAGTCAAATAAAATAAGTGTGCAGTTTTGGGTGAACTCTCTCTTTATAGCACACCTGAGGTTTCTAGATAGTGTAGCACATGCAGCTCAGAAGGAACTCAACCTTTAGCAAGTCAGAGCTAATAGTTTGAGTTCTGATATTCCAGTTTGAAGATTTGTTTGTGTAATGTTGCTGTACTTTTCACTGAGGTGTTTACAGCGGCACCGTCTTCATTTATTCCTCTCTTCTTATTACTCTGACCTCATTCGTGACTGGGATACTTGCATATCTCTGCTTGGAAAAACGAATACCCATAACTTCAGAGTTTACGTTCGTTGAGGTTATTGAATTGTGTTTGTGCTGAACTTTTATTTTCTTTATGTAGTTTTACAGAATTGTCTATTTAAGTTGCCGCATGTTTATATGAAGCTTATTGAAAAGCAAAGACGGTCTGGATGAAGGTTTAATGATGTCACTTTAAAGTAACAGTTCACTCAGAGAAAAAAAGTCAATTCTGTCTTTTATTTATCCTCTACAAACAAACCTGCTGGAGTTTCTTTTTAATTCAATTGATGATATTTTGAAGAATGTTGGAAAGTTTTTCGCTGTAACTTCCATAGTACTTTGTTTAAACCATAGATGTCTATGGCTTCTGTATTCAAGAAAAAAAGAAACTCAAAGGTTTGGAACCACATGAGGCTGAGTAAAGGACACATTTATACTGAATGATTCAAGTGATCCAATTCAAAATATTTATTTTTCTCTCCTCATATTACACGAGTTGATTATGGTTCGTGTTTAAGCAGAAAAAAAAAACTTTTGTCATAAACTACTAAATCAACTGATCATTAAGTGCTTATCAACAGTGTTGAGAGCAATAAATGTTTAAAGATGCATTATTAAATGTAAACGGTAAATACAGGAATGGTGAAAAAGCACTATTTTATTATGGCAGCTGTCAGTCAGTGCCTGCTTTTTTTTTTTCCTCATACAGTTTAATGCATCTTTGGTGCGTGTACTAGTGTACATGCAGATATTGGACATGAGCCACTTTTTAATCAGACCCTCTAGTTTGTTTGCGATCGCTAAATCCAACACAAAAATCAAGTCACAATTTTTAAGCGGAAAATAATAATTAAAAAAAAAAAGTTTAAATGTCATAAAACATCCAATTCTAACCCATATAGATACTATAATTATTTCAGTTTGCAATTAATTGCTTTACATGATTTATAGATGTTGCATACGCAGAGCTCGTGATGTATTTGCAGAAATTCCATGTCTCCTGGGAATCTATGCATATGCGGGAGACTGCCGGAGGCTTAAAAACAAATGATCTCTCGGAAATCGCGCGTCCCAAATGGTGTCTCACCTGCCCCTTATGTATGGCTGGCAGCCTAATATAATGTGCTTCAAAACAATAATTGCGTTCATTTGACTCTTTCCTTGTACCATAAGTTTGATAGCAATATTTTCTATTTTTATTAAAGTAAGGGAAGTCCAAACGCATGTCTTATGTGTGAGGTACATGATGTCAAGATTGTGGGTAAAAATAAAATCGCTAACCTTCCTTTGGCTTAATTCCTCACATTTTAGATCTTGTTTTGACAAGAGACCAAAATAAAGAAGCTTTATTTCTATGACTTGTGCATAGTAGGCTACTGAATGTGATACATTTTTTATAAATTTAAATTTCTGGAAATGACCACCACAAAATTAGTCATTTTAATCGCAAAAATCACAAACAAATTGTAAAAAAAAAAACTAGGGGGTCTGTTAAATATGTAAACAAAATTGAACTTGACCATGAAGACCTGCAGAATATTGATTGTTTTTTTTAACAATTGTGTGTGAACTGTCTCTTTAATGAAGACTTGAGCTGATGTAACCATAACATCATTCTGCCATGTGTTGAGAATAATGACTGCTGCATCTGCTGGTGCTCATATGAGGACATGATTGTCTTTATCAACAGGATTATGCCAAAAATAATCATTTTAATATCAAGGAACTCACTAATCAATCACAACTCTCATGAATATGTAATGTATTACTGGAATTTCAATACCAAACATATATAGAGGAGCTTTTTTTGTAGAAAAGTGTACAGTTTTTCAGTGTTTTATTTTGTACTTACCCTGCAGGCCAGTTTGGTTTATGATGTTATATTTAAAGATGTTTCTGAAGTCTGAACAGTTTGCACAGATTTTGCCATGTCTAATTCAATTCATTGTTTGTACTTTGCAGATTTAACAATGTATGCATTATAAAATGAAGTCTTGGGTATTTAATGAACTGTATGACCCAGAATATAAATGGGATGAATCGATTTTCCAATGTCATGTTGACTCGAGCAGAAACACAACAAACTCTTAACTCAGATTAATTTAATCCACAACATTAAAAACAAATGAGGAAGACGTGTAATCAGAGGTGAGTTGTTATTCTTCAGATGCTGGCCTCTTCTGATCACACGACAGAAAGCTGAGGCTGACCATTAAAACAAGCTGACGTGGCATTACAACTACAATATTCAGCTTTATAACTGGAAAATAACCACACTAAAAGCCAAAACACAAACTAGTCGAGTTGTACAGAAAAAAAAAAAATAGATATTTCAAGACGTTGAACTATGAACAAGATAACATGGTGTTTTTTTTCCTAATATATGTTTACCAAACTGCATCCATTGTTTGTTTATCCTTGATTATTTCGATGACTGTATGTTTACAGCACACAAATTGTTCATGTGTTTTCAATATTCAGCAAACTAAATGAACTAAAGATTGATGTTGTGATGATTTTTGAGCAACGTGTCAAGTTATTTTATTTATTAAAAAAACCCCCAGAGTTGATTCATCTAGTGTGACGACAGATTGATTACACAATTATTCCTTGACACAAAATGAGGCGATTAAACCGCAAAACCAACAATCTGACACAAGGCAAACTGAAATACGCAAATAAAGAGCTTTAAAACAATCATGCTTAGCTCAAACCAAGCATGCACCGAGGCAATGAAAAAATAAAAACGCAAAGATCAGAGCCTCTGTGGGCCTGAAAGATGAACATGAGACTGTCTGTCGCCCCCTACTGGAGCACTCACCTCAATACAGGCCCTTCAGACTGCATCCGCCTGCTCGCGACGCCACACTCACTCACACACACTCCAAACAGCAGAAGAGCCGACGCTGCTTCCTCGTTCTCTCGCTTGAATCAGCTACGTGTGCGTCTCACCCTCAGGAGTAAGCGGTTGTCTATGCACGCTGCGTTTAAGGGGAAAATCCTTGTTCTTTGAAAAGTGGCTTGATGTGTGTCTCACTTTTTGGACTGACTGGCAGTCTTTCCCCTGTGTGTTGATCCTCTCTGTGTGTTTGCTCATCTCCGGCTGTTGTGGCGCAGGATGACTGGTTTCTCAGCGGTGGCTCAGGCTTGCGCTTCAGCCTACTTTAGCCCAGATCAGGAAGGCGGGAATGTCTCTGACGGGAACGTTGCGGGTCAGAGCTTTGACGCGGAGATTTCTGTCGTCTGTGAGCAGGACCACCTCACGACGCAACCGCACCGGACCATCTAAAGGAGCAATAGAAAACACAATGATCAAGACAGAGAAAAGGAAAAGAACAAAAATTCTGTGATCTAAAAAAAAAATAAAAATAAAAAAATTTTTTTTGCAAATCATCGTTTTAGAAGACATTTTTTACACTAGTCAATTTTATTTGCTGCTAATTTGTGCATCTCGACCACAAAACCAGTAATAAGTGTAAATGATTGGAAATCTTCAAGCAAAATAAATATTTTTTTTATTTTATATCTTGTTTAAAATAGAACAATCTTTGGCCGAGATGCAACAATTTGAGCAATCTGGAATCAGAGGGTTAAAAAAAATCTAAAATATTGAGGAAATCACCTTTAAAGCTGTCGAAGTTAAGTTTTGATGTATGAACTGTGGGAATTAAAACAAATATCTTCCATGAAACATGATCTCTACCTAATATTCTACTGATTTTTGGCATGAAGGCGAAATCTGGAGTTGTATGCATTTGTTAATTTTCTCAATCTCAAAAACAGGCGACCATTAACTTGCATTATATGAAACTCAAAGGAATGAAATGAACCATGATTTCAGCTAAAACTCTTTAATGTTCTAATGAAGAAAATAAAATAAAAACCTTCATGGCATGAGCGCGAGAAAATTAACTGTCATATTTCATGTTTGGATGATTATATACACCTTTATATGATATACAGCTTTAAGATTTTACAGTTTTTAACAAATGTATTTTAGAATTATCATAAGTGTGATTTTATTGGGAGTAGTATTACAGTTTTTCTCAGTCACTTTGGTGCGTTTTTCACAACACTATTTACATTTGCACAACAGTTAATGCATTTCTCAAAACAATCAGTAATTTGTGCAGATGATAGTAGCAGTTTCTCATTCCTTCCAACAAATTGCAAATGCTTTTGGACATGCATCAGTTGCTTTAATACAACTCTTTGCTGTTTAAAAAAATTTCATTTGCTTGTGTCATGTCTGTCAAAATTAACTAAACTTGTGAATGCTGAATAGCCGTTCCATATTACTCGAGTCATTACAAACAAAAATGTTGAACTAGTTGTCAAAATCTGTCAAACAAATTTGATAAAATTTCAAAATTCAATTAATTTTTTCTTGAAAAGTCTTCTAAATTGAACAATTTCATGAATGATTTACAGACCTGTGTGTGTTGTAGGTTCAGTTCTGATATGAACTGCAATATTGTTAAAAGCTGTGCAACCAATAAGTTTGTTTGTTGTAAATAAGGGTGTATTTATATTTTTGCACAATGCTGTGAATAAATTAGGATTGTAAAGAGCAAATGCAGTAAACATGTGAAACATACATATTCAGTGTCTTGTACTCAGATACCTCAGTAAATGCAGTGATGTCTAACTTTACTGTAGTTTTCAAATGGCTGTGCAAATAGTATATGGCGCTGTCTTGAGCATTTTCAGGAAGTGTCACCAAAATCTGACCTTTTTGCATTGGAAAAAATGTCCAGAGTAAACTGTCATAATGAAAACATGACTAAGCCATTTGACTATCTTGTTCATAAATAATGGTGTCAGGACTTTTCATCTTGATGATACTGACACTTTCATTGACATCAATACTTGCTTTTGAGGAACAAACTATCCATTTTGAGCAAGTGACACGCTTTTGCAGGTTATCAGCTAGGTTTTGTAGTTTGTACTAATTGTTTTGAGAAATGCATTAACTGTTGTGCAGAAATGCACAGAAGACTGGAGTAATGAAGTTAAAAATTCATCTTTAAATCACTGGAATAAATGACTAAATGGAATGATAAAGTACTTTTTGAACATTTATTTTATAGAGCAAAACCATTTCACAAGTTTACAGTTTGTTCTGTATCTTTGTTGAAATAAATGCAGTCTTGGAGAGGAGAAACTTATTTTTTAAACATTTAAAAATCCTACTGACTCCAAACTTTTGAGCGGTAGTGTATTAAACGAAACCTATTTTAAAATCAAAGTGTTTAAAATAATCTTAAAGTAACATTGTGAATCTATTTGTTTAAATTATATTTTTGTTTAAATTGAAAACTTTTTCCATATTTTTGTTCATCTTAATGTCAAAATGATTGTTTATTGTAGACTAATCACTTATCATTACCAGGTAAAATTCCCATACTTAAATCAATAACAACGGTTTATCATCCCTAAAAAAAAAATAAAATAAAAAAAAAAACTCTTATTAAAACTTCAAAATGCTTTAAATTATTTACTTTGGAAAGTAGCCATGGTAAATGGGCATAAATGTTAGGGCCTTAAATGTTAGGTATTTAAAGTATGTTTTATGTATTCATTTTTTACATAATTTAAATTGATTATTAAACAGTATACACTACCATATATTGACAGAAAAAAAAGAATGAGAATAAATAAAGGTGTGCGTTTGTGTGTTTTAAAGTGTGTATGTACTTGCATAGTGGGAGAAGGGTAATGAAATCTATTGGCTTTAGTTTTGCTGGTGATTTTTCCGCACACTAAAACTTACAATTCAGATAGCTGTTGTTTAAAACAAGGTTCAATATGAGTAAACTCTCTTTAAAACACATCCACTTAATTAAGACATTTGCCAAAAGGCCTAAAACTAATGAGACAAATACTGATTCCCGCACCACAGTCTCATCAGCACCTGAGCCGGGGAAACTCCAGGCCCAGCCCGAGTCTCTTTCATTGGAAAATTCAGATCCAGCTGCGCAGCCTCCTCGCATGGAACCACTTACATTCAAAGTGTTTTAAACTATTTTAATTTTATTTAGGCTGGATTATTATTTTAATTGGCATCCAGTTGGTGTTTTGGCGCTGAAGCATATAGCGGACTTGTTTTGAAGCACTTTACCTCAAATGTTATTCGTTCTTCTATCTCATCTAGTAGATAACTGAACAACAAAAATAAATATGAAATTCATTTTAAAATGTTTTTTTTTTTATAGGAAAAATATACAAATTCTATTTTTGTTTGAGCCCGTCCACTACCCATCTGTGCGGGTGGATGATCTGTTTCGGTCTGTGTAAAGGCTTTAATTAATTCTTCACTATCACACACTGTCATATGCTTGCAAATGTTTTAATATGGGCGAGGCAGTGGCGCAGTAGGTAGTGCTGTCGCCTCACAGCAAGAAGGTCACTGAATCAAACCTCGGCTCATTTGGCGTTTCTGTCTGGAGTTTGCATGTTCTCCCTGCCTTTGCGTGGGTTTCCTCCCGGTGCTCCGGTTTCCCCCACAGTCCAAAGACATGTGGTACAGGTGAATTGGGTAGGCTAAATTGTCCGTAGTGTATGAGTGTGTGTGTGAATGTTTCTGTGGATGTTTCCCAGAGATGGGTTGCGGCTGGAAGGGCATCCGCTGTGTAAAAACTTGCTGGATAAGTTGGCGGTTCATTCCGCTGTGGCGACCCCAGGTTTAATAAAGGGACTAAGCCAACAAGAAAATGAATGAATGAATGAATGTTTTAATGTCATCATTTTAAAGATTACGTCTTGAGTGTCTGATTTTTCCTTCATTCGTTTTTTTTTAATATGAATATATTTTCTTTGAAATCTAAATGTAATAAACACATCAGAATGATGTCATAATGAATGCCCTTAAATAATGTAGACTTGGACAGCAAGCATCAGTATTTCTTGAGACTGAAATAAGAATAATGAGGATGAGGCGGAGCGGTGCTGGATTTGTGCATAACTGGAATAAAATCCTACAGGAGCCATGAACTTACAAGTTGTGCATAACCAGTTGGCTCATCATTTAAAGTTGTCACTAATTGAAAAGTTGACCAGAAGTTTGTGTTTCCTCCAACTTTTTTTTTTTTACAGTTTTAAGTTCGCCATTGGCAGTTTTTCTCTTTATGTTCTCTATTGTACATGGCTGGAAATCTCTATGCGCAAGACATCACTGGTGCTTCCGGAGCGTGTACATCAGATCTTAATAAACATTTTTTTTGTTGAAGTTTTTTCTAATGCAGGCCTGAAGCCCGATATGCGTGCTAGCTATGATGTAAAAATTGTCCTGAAGCCCAGCCCTAGCGGCATAAAGAATTCGGGCCCCGGCTTAAATGCAGGGCTCTATATGGGCAGAATAATGTTTGGCCTCCTGCAGTTTGTTTTGTGGTTATGAGTGGCTGGGTGTGGTGTCATCATCATCATCATCATCATCATCATCATCATCATCAACTGAGCTTGTATAAAAGTGAATGCAGATGAATGTGAACTGACTTCTCTCAGCAGGCATGAAGTCCTTGGCTTTGTCCTGACAGTAGTGCAGACAGCAGGACAGGATCACGTCATCGTTGTTCCCCTGAGGAGACACATGGACAGGACAGTGAGCGGCTGATTCAAACTACAGGCTGAAGAAGCCCCCGTGTGTATTTAGCAGCCTCTGAAAGCTTTTTTTACACATTCACAGAAATGTGTGTGCGTGTGTGTCCTCTACACTCCCTAAAGACCACCGATATTAAAGCTATTTATATAAAGCTATATACTGTATACACACACACACACACACACACACACACACACACACACACACACACATACATACATACATACATACATACATACATACATACATATATATATATATATATATATATATATATATATATATATATATATATTAAAGCTATAAATAACTATAGTGTTTTTAAAAATTTTAAAAATGCAAAAAAAAAACAGTGACGTTATTCAAAATGATGCATTCACTAAATTAAATAAAACAAATACACAATTAAAGTCAGAATTTTTCACTCTCTTTTTTTTAAGATTTTTTTTTTCTTTTTTGATTGTTTCCCTAATGATGTTTAACAGAGCAAGGCATTCTTCACAAAATGTTTGATAATATTTTTTTCTTCTAGAGAAAGTATTTTGTTTTATTTCGGCTAGAATAAAAGCAGTTTTTAATTTTTTAAAAACCATTTTAGGGACAAAATTATTAGCCACTGTAAGCTAGATAGTTTTTCGATAGTCTACAGAACAAACCATTGTTATACAATAACTTGCCTAATTACCCTAACCTGCCTAGTTAACCTAGTTAAGCCTTTAAAGGGTCACGAAACACCAAAACACATTTTTTGAGCTGTTGACAGTCGTATATGTGTCCCACACTGCTAAAAACACTATTAGGACACCTATATTTCGCTTAAAAAGTGTAAATTGGTTGTTTTTGCGTTATTTCAAGCAAATTCATACTTCCTGTTTGAAACTAATTTTTGAAGCTGCGTCACGGCCATGACACAATAAATGTATTCCAGCGTGCAGACTGGGCGTATGTGCCAGAGTGAGTCTTATTACGTCTTACAGTGTGATGCATTAATGCATGAGTAAGGCTTGGTTCAAACCAATCAGCGCACTCTATTGTGCAACTTCATTAATATTCATTACTGTCACAGTGATTAGACGACAGAGACGCCACGTTGTGTTGGCAAAACAAGCGTGAAGTGTTGCTTTTATAGTTTGCTGCCATTAAGTTTCGTTTTCATTTTCTCTCTGTGAGAGCTCATCTGGATCACGTGTGGATTAACAGTGTATGCGACGCTCGACAAAAATAACTTACGTGTCTAAGGGGGATTATTGTTTACCTGAGAGCTGTTCTCATCTGCAAACGCTGAGATCCGGATTCGCTTGTAGTCTCCTCTTAATAAAGACGCGGCTCTAGTTGCTGGGGTTTGTCCTGTCTCTACAGATTTGGTAAGTGAGCGACCAGTGCTCTTTGTTTATTCAGTTTATTTGTATTGAATTAAGTTAACTATTGCACTGAGTGCAAACATGTTAGCACCGCATTTTGTGATCGGAATAACACACGCGGCTTTCTGACGCTACCTGCCGTGTGCATCTAAGTTTCCTGGAAATGCGGAGTTTTTTTTTCTCTCATTCGCCGTGCGGTATCAAACATTGCATGAAAAATACACGCTTAGAGCAGTTCCTCGAATCAAATATCTCGTTTGTCGCGAGGGGCATGAATGAATTCCCTGAATGAAAGAGCCAAACTGCAGTTAAAGTCCAACAATTAATAATTTGGCAAATAATTCGACTACAGATGTCCATGTAGGTTAAACACCATCACTTTCTCCTGTGTGTATTTTGACTAAAACTCGCGCGTGCCCAGTGCATAAAATAAAGACAAAACGTGGCGGACAGTTGAGAACCTCTATATGCTGGAGAATCAGTGACTGGCGCACCTCTGCCCTGTTGATGTTTAGTGTGCCTGTGTCCATACATTTGACAACTGGCTCATAGACATTATAATAGAAAGCATGGTCCGCTTTTGCTCTGTTGCTTCGACACATCATCACGGCCGCCATCTATTATAATGCCTATAGGTACTGCCAGTCTCTGTTCAGGATTTGTATATGCGAGTAATATGTGAAGTATCACAAGCAATGCATCAAAAATCCACTGATTTCCTTAAATAAACTTTGATAAGGAGAACTCTCCTTTCTCAATGAACACAACATGTAGAATATTCTTCTTTCTTGTCCTGCTTTGGAGAAAAAAAGAAGAACATATCACTGCCTCTGAAACGTTCAGCGTTTTTTCGTGATTAATTAATATGCATCAGACTCTATGTGTATTGTTTGGTTACGGACTTCAGTGTGCAAAGCCATGTAGTACTAAAGTTGGTGATAATTCAATCCATCATAAATTTACATCACTGGTAGTTCCTATTGTGCTGAATTAGATCCTGCTCTGAAGTAGAAGCCTATTTAGTTCCCCTAAGCGTGTGTATCCACCGAACCAGTTTGTGTCTCTGCAGAAGTGTGAGTTCTATTCTAAAAATGCTCAGCAGTGAGTGTTTTTGCAGCGCATATTTTTTTTTGTCCAGTTGGCTGCTACGTATAAAACCCCATTTGATATAGAGCAAGAAACCACAGACCTTCTGTCCAGACGTGTCTTCGCTGCGGAAGGCGATAGACTCCAGTGTGTTTCCTCTGCTGGTCAGCGCTCTGATACTTGGGTCTCTGGACTCGAAGGCTTTCTCCAGAAACATGACAGCCGCTCGGGCTCTGTCCTGCACCTGACGGGCATGAGCACCGTTCCCAACGCCCTCGCGACTGTCCTGTCCTTTAGCCAGACCGTCCAGCTCCGTGATCACTGTCAGACACACAGACACACGTTAGACAGATGGAAACACAGGCTTTGTTTTACTCTTCAGAGAGGGTCTCACCAATAAGGGGAACCACCAGGATGTACGTCCCGCAGGCCAGAAGCTTCCTCAGGCCCTCCAGATGATCAATGAAGCCGTTTGTGTCAGGAACAAGATAGAAGGGTCTGACCTCGATCTCCAGCTGACCGCCTGTTTGCAGAACAGCCTGGAGCACACAAAAAATATTCTGAATGTACGCTCATCAACAAAAACTTACTAATAAATGGACATGACCTTGATCATTTTTGTTGTCAAAAAGATGCTCATTGTGTTCATGTAAAAATTACTGTTTAATATTTTGCCTGTTGTGTCATTTTTTAATTAAAATAGCCATTTGCAAACAAAAGTATAAAAAAACTAAACAAAGTTTATTCATTTATATATATATATATATATATATATAAATAAATATAGGTCTGCACAATATTGGAAAAAGTCTGATATTGGGATATTTTTTATTTTTCTGTGATAAATATTCTGATATGAGTTTGATTAGCACTATTTGATGGTTTTCTGGGGAGCCTGACAGTATTCAGGGACAGAACGTGAATAAATGGCATGCAAATAAATGCTTTTCTTACTTTGCTTTGTCTTATTTCAAGTCCAAATATACTTTGATCAGGTAAAATATTTGGGTTTTTTTAACATCAGAGGAAATTAGTCAAAATTAGAGAGTTTTTCCTTAAATCAAGCAAAAGTATCTGCAAGTGGGGTAAGTAAAACAGTATTGTTTTCAATTTGAAATGTACATACTTGGACTAGAAATAAGACAAAAATTATACGTTAGAAATTTTTTTTTCACATAAATCTCACAAATTCCGTATAAATACAGTAATTTAATACAATTCTGTAGCTCCTGGTCAACTATAATGCAGACTCAACATTACATATCTTGCGACATGACTATTGAGCATGTGCACATTGCAATATCGATGCTGAAACGTACGGTGGCCGAGAGAGTTTAACGTGCTGCAATTTAAGAAAACACTTGCAATTACAAAAAAAAAAAAAAGCCAGCAAATTGATAAACGATCTTCATCTGCATTTTCTTATAAAATAAAAACATCTAAACACAATGGAAATATTTTAAGGGGATGGATGCTGCTGTTGCCACTGTGCTCAGTGCAGTTGTAGGTGATCTTTGAAAGGTGATTTTTTGTTTGTTTGTTTATTTTAATATGCTGATTCCAGTGTCTTTATTCAGTATTTATTAGTCTAAATAACCATAACCTAAATAGTCGGGTCTGCCACTTTTTAGGGTCTCCTTGAAACATTGCCATTGTGTTGTGTGAAAATGCAGCACGTTTTTTTAAAAACGTGTTTGCGTTGTGAGGATTTGCAGCACGTGAGTCAAACTGATGAACATCTTTTCTCAATTTGCTGACATTTTTTTGTAATTGCACATGCTTTCTTAAATTGCAGCACGTTAAGCTTTATCTGTCACCAGAGAAACAATATATTGTGCTGCCCTAATTAAAAAGCTGCAAAATCAAAATTATTTTCTCACTGTCAAAATTATTTTCTCACTGGCAAATGAGGGAAAAAAAAATATTTCATATATTATTATTATTGTTAAATTAAGCAGTCAAAGTCCAAATCATTACCTCTCCTGTGAAATTGTAACTCTTTTTAAAATATTTTCTAAGGGCTGTTTAATAAAGAATAGATTTCTCAACACATGATTAGACATCATAATTTCAATAATTTCTTTGCCATGATGACTACATAATATTTACGAGATTTTTTGCACAATACTAGTATACACCTTAAAGTGCAATTTAAAGGCCTAACTAATGTAATTAGTTTTACTATACAAGTCATTGGACAACAGTGATTTGTTCTGTAGACAATAATAAAAAAAAATAATTTAATAAAAAAATTAATTAAACTGCTTTTATTCCAGCTAAACTAATAGAAATGAAACTTTCTCCAGAAGACAAAAAAAAAAAAAAAAAAAAAAAAAAAAAAATATATATATATATATATATATATATATATATATATATATATATATATATATATATCAAGAAAAAAGATGTCATTGCTCTGTTAAACATCAATTTATTAAATGGAAATTTGAAACAAAATCTTATTTCACTAGAATAATAACTAATTTGGATTTCAACTGTATGTTATCTGCCTAAAAGGAAATAAAATAATGTATCTGAAATGAGATTTAACAATTTCTATGGCCTTAAAAATGACAGAAATTCTTCTAAGGCTTAAATTACGCTGCAAGGAGGAGCCTGACCATCTGAAGAGATGTCCTTAGCTCATCATCCATACTGCTTCCTGTCTATCAGTGGAGTGTGATTTGGATCTAGCAGACGCAGATGGCATCCTGATGTACCTGTATCTTGTCCCTGCGCTTCTGCTGCTGTGCCAGCTTGTGTGCTAAAGCGTGGCGTCGTGCCCTCAGCTCTCTGATATCATCCTCACTTCCATCTCCCTCCATCTCTCCATCAATCTCTCCTTCTGACGCAGACAGAGATGACTCCTCCACGATCACATCATCCTCCTGAGAAAACAGCAACAGATCTAGCAGTGCTACAAACACTTAAGCTTACACTCAATGGGTTACCGGAAAACGAGCGTCATTGATTCGGGGAAAACTGATGAAAACTCTTTGATGTTGAATTCAGCTAATGATGGGTTTGCTGTACCTGCTCCTGCGCCTTGTTCTCTGTGTTTATGCTGGGTGTAAGAGGTGCTGCCATGGAAATGTATTTTCCTCCTTTGAAAGCCAGCAGAGGCTCTTCCTGCCCACACAGAGCTTCCAGGAAGTACTTGAGAACGGTCACTCGCTTACAGTCAGCGGCTATAGCCTGCGACACAAAAACAAGCATCCAGATGTGATACGATGACAGATGAGATATAATCACAGCTGCATCTGAGGTAATTAGATTCATTAATTTCCTTCCGTGTGATTTCTGAGTCATCAGAAAGAGAACAGCACCATGAGTATCTGCTCTCATTAAAACATAAAAGATGAACAAGACTTTTAAAGGCTCAATGATTTTTATAAATCAAACCTTAGAGGGAATTTTGAAATGAGATTAAACTTGAAACTTATTTGCAGTCTTTGTAAAGAAGAATTTAATCCTCTACAAGAGAAGTACTTCATATATTATGAATACAATATACTTATATATGGTGTTCCACAGCATTTTTCCTTTTAAAATGTCATGATTTCTCCAAGTGCTCTCCAAATGCTTCAGGCAAACATTCATGAGCTACTGTTTCATGTAATGTCGACGGATACATTATTAAATTGAATACAATGTTTTTACAGCGTAGACTAAAATACAGGAGGATCTATGTGGTTTACTATTCAAAAGAAAAATGTATTTGGATAATGCTTACACAATAACGTTAATTGAAATAATATGAGAGCATGTAATTGGCCAAGAACAACAACTAACCCTACATCTATGCATCATTTATACAAAAAAGTAATAATAATAATAACAGAAAATGACAGAAAACAAATGTTAGAACTGAGTGCCTTGTAGAGCTGCACTTATATATATAGTATATATAGTATATGTAACCCACTGATGTTACTACATCCAACCCGATCTGAGCTGGGATCGAACTGGCGATTCAAGAAGACTAAATACCATAGCCCTAGCGTCTTTCGCTAGAGCACCTTTTGAGGTCAGATGAGTGAGGTTTACCTGCAAAGCACTTCGCTGGTTGGCCTCCGTTACACTCACACCCCTAAACCTCACTCCCATCCTGGACGAGCCCCCGTGTAACCCACCAGTCCTACTGCACACAACCTGCTTCATCGCTGGAATCGAACCAACGATTCTTTGCATGGGAGTCAGTTGCTCTAACCTCTTTTGAGGTGACAGGAGTGAGACTTACCTGCATAGCACTTTGCTAGCTGGCCTCCATTACAAATATATATTTGTTAAATAGACTTTGCATGATTTTTCCTGATATTTGTGGTATTATTTGTTGTTTTAAATTCTCCTCTAGACCTGGAAAATGCCATGTTAAAATTTCATGACTTTTTTCATGACCATTCAAACCCTGTATATTTAATAAATTGTACCTATATAAGGTAAATATAAGCATTACTGGGTAAAAATTGTCATAAAATTAAAATAACAGCTTTAATGAATTATAATTATTATTATCCTTCTAGTTTTTCTAAAAAACATTATTCAGAACAGAAAAAGAAATTAAAATATAAGTTACATAAAAAAATAGTAGAATTTATAAACATCAGGCCTAAACAAATTAATTTGAAATGAAACCAAAACCAGCAGTGTGTAAGAAACAGTGTGCAAACATGCGCTTTGAGTGCTTGAAGGTCCAGTTTCTTTATAACGTAACTAGCACCTTTTTTGACTGAAAATTCAGAGAAAACATTTATTCCAGAAAATTTGAGAGATTAAATTTAAGGCGTAAAAACTCATAATAACTTCACTGACATTGATAACAATATATTTTTTTAAAGTCTTGTAATAAACCTTGGTATAAACCTCAATAGGGTATATGCCGAGCTAGTGCAGTTCCAATGCTGATACACTTCCGGTGACCTGTTATTGTGAACTTTTTACCATTTTATACGGTTCCTCATACAGCATCGATGTTGTAATGTCATTAAAATACATTCAGTTAAATAAACTTTAGCATTTATTTAGTTGCTCAAGCGTAAAACAAGACAAAAAGCTGTTTACTCGCACGCGCTCGTCAGAATCGGCAGGCTAACGCAGAAGCTCCATTGAATATACTGGGGTAAAATAAATGCTAATATTATAAAGACATGGCGAGGGAAATGTAATTTAATGCAGTGCTTTTTGTACAATCTGAGACCCACTTTAAATCAGATATCACTCGGCTAGTGGAGATCGCTGATTTTTAAAGAAAACAGACCTTGAACGCACCGGATTTTGCATTGGCATTCAATTCGCCGGAAGCGCTTAACCCAGGTTACTGGCAAATTGAAAGTCCTATTAGCATGCTTCGGCATATACCCCATAGCTCTCCAGAGATTTTTTTTCAATATTAAGGGTTAACAAAAAAATGTCACCTCTTAAGGATGTAATATAGTAGGGCTGACCTATATTGGAAAAATCTGTCATTGCAATGCTTTGTTTTTCTTCAATATATATTGCGATATGAATACAACTTCACCATATGACTTAAATAGCTCTGTTTGGTACGAATTCTGGTAGAGAAATTAAATAGACCATTTCAATGTGGTGATGCCATTGGCCCATGAGCATTTTCTGTTTACTGTCAAACTATTTCATAACTGTAAAAAAAAAAAAAAGAAAGGCAATCCAATCCTAACTTTACGCTAAAACAGCTATCATAACATTATTTATCAACATGTCAAGCTTTTTAAATTCCCGGAAGCTATGGAAATGAAAAAATGTACAACAGTAAATATGTTAGGACTTACTGTTATTGTTTACATCCCTGAAAATGGTAAAATTGCATTGCATAGTCTTCATTGAATAAATAATTCAAAACATTTTTTATAAAAGTTACTAATGCTGCAACTGCATAAAAACACTTATACAGTCACAGGCCTTAAAACACATGTTTGTGATAAACTTTTGCTCTATTATGGTAAAAATCTTCAATGATTGTGGCTCCAGATCTTCTATGATCCCAATAGTCAACATTGCAGATCCTGCGGTGTGACTATTGCGGATACACACATTGCAATACTGATGCTAAAATGATATTCTCGGTGATGGGAATAACAGAACTATAAATAAGCAGCATTACTAACGCATATACTTTTTCCACTAAGGAGAAATCAAATTAGTAACTATTTCCCCCGTTACAACACCATTACCGTTACCAACATTAAAATGAGTGCTACTATAATTGAGAACACTGAAGCAGTTTTCATACGAACAGTGTCTTAGATAAAGTACATTTCCACCGTTTGCCAATCAGAGGCAGAGTAGGGCGGGTGTTCACACACATGCACACACCAACAACCAGGAGTCAGAACGATGGCACATCCAAGCAGTTCAAAGGTAGTGTTTGCAAACTGGAAATAGAAGCATGACTTTTCCCTCATTGAGGTGAAAGGCAAGAATGTTTCTGTACTATGCAACTTATGCCCACGAGTTTAAAAAAAAAAAAAAAAAAAAAAAAAAAGAGTCTCTCTGCATCAATGACAAGAAATCCTAATCTAATGAAGCACCTCATGTTGTCACATGCCGTCACAAAATGAATGGCTACACAGGTAATAACGTGAGCTCTGGTAACAAAGGAGAAGACGAAGCCACGATGTCAAAGCAAATACAACTTAATTTTTCTCCACCGTAAACACTTATTACTCAGTCAGAATTAAACTAAATAATATCTAGATATATAGTTGAGGACATGCTGCTGCTGTCTCTCTCATTGTCCCACAACAACATTAAAATATTGTAGATTAGTGTACAATGTTTTATATTTATTTTATAGTCATTTGACACTAGATTTTTTTTAAGTAACGCAATAGTTACTTTCCCCGGTTATTAGTAGGCCCACACGGAATATGCGCGTGCAGATTTTCTGCAGAATTCTGCAGATTTCCGCATATTTTTAGTCTATCATTAATTCTGTTTATTTACTTGAGTAAATGTGTGTAAATCTGTATTTATTCAGTTTTTTAATTAATTAAAGTAACTTTATTGAATAACATGAAAATGTTCATCAGATTTATGTACAATGCAGTGTGTACAGTCATATTTTCTGTCTTTTAGTAGAGATATTATACGAGACACTTGCTTTGTTTACTAAATAAAGTGAATCTAATTAGATTTGCATTTTAAACATTAAATAAAAGTTAAAAAGGTGTTACTTTTTAGTTCATATATTAAGGTTTTAGTTATGATACTTCCAAAATCATTCCACAGATATCCGCAGATTTACAAAATTCTCCGCAGAAATAGCAAAAAACGTCCGCAGATTCCGTCTGGCCCTGATTTTTTAACTACTTTTATAAATATGTAACTCAATTCCTATTGTGAGAAGTAACTAGAACCAATGACTCTTTTAAAGGAACGTGCTTAACACTGGAAATACGGTGCAGCCCTACAATATAGCATATGAAAACACATTACTGACCGCATCTGTTCCCTGGTCTGTATAGCAGGCGTCCTGTGGGGCAGCGAGCAGCGGAACAAACCCAGACAGCATTTTGTCTTCCTCCAGCTGCAGGACTCTGAGCTCCTCATCTCCTTCTCCATCTGCATCCGCTTTATACAGCAGGACCTCCCCATGATACACACGAGAGAAAGAGTTGCACAAATCCGCAAGACACTGCCACACGTCTGGACTCCCCCTAAACACAGACAGCTCTAGTTCATTACTCCAGCTCGCATTAAATCAACATGGTCCAACGAGCATGATGCAAGCAGGACTCACTGCATGCTGCATGGAGGAGGGTTCCACTTTTCCGGGTGTCCGAGCATCCAGTCGGACCAGACCTTCATGCTAGGCAGCAGCTCTCGGAGGTCGTGAGGGAAGACAGACACTCGCACCATCCCTTCCTCATCATCCATCTCATCAAATTCCCCCAGCTCTTCGGCAGGGATCGGCTCTGGGAGAGACAAAAAGGAGAAAACATGTTTAGTCAAAGTTTAACAAATAATGAGATAAGCAGCTCTTTCATAAAGGTCTAATGACATTTAAATAAATAAGGATATTTATAAGCTAATGTACTCCAAAACAGTGTAAAATTTAGAAGATGTATGCATCAAAAGCTTGGGGTTTGACACTTCTGCCTAAATATATCAATATTTTTTTTGATGTCACCTCATACTTCAGTTTCTCATCAAATCTTCTGGCCAATCAAATGCTTTCTAGTATCTGACATGTGCCGCCACCTTTAAGCCGCTCCTCATTTGCTTTTAATTTGATGTGCTTGAGGTCTAACATTCTCATAAACACTATGTTCTGGATTCTGAATGTACTTTTAAAAGGTAAGTGTGCTTTGGCACTAGTATGAGACACACTCTTTCCTCGTTTGTGTGTTTGCGTATTAAAAAAAAAAAAAAACCTGCTTAACTAACTAAACGACTTGTCATGGCATATACACCACCTGACAAAAGTCTTGTCACGTATCCAAGTTTTAAGAACAACAAATAAGAACTTGACTTCTAGTTGATCATTTGGTATCAGAAGTGGCTTATATGAAAGACAAAGGCCTCTAGATTACGCTTATTTTACCAAAATAAAATATGATCATGCCTTGATTTTTAATTATTTAATTAGGACAGTAAGGTCTGACTTCGCTTAGACAAATGCCTTGTCACTTAACAGAAATAATATACAGTATTGAATATAAAGCCATTGTGCAGTGGAAAAAAAAATTAATATTGTGTCTGACTACCCTGACATAAGAGGACTGCATCCATACATCTCTGCAATGACTCAAATCACTTATTAATAAAGTCATCTGGAATGGCAAAGAGAGCGTTCTTGCAGGACTAGAGGAACTAGAGTTCATCAAGATTCTTCAATGCCTCCTCCATCTTACCCTAGACATGCTCAATAATGTTCATGTTTGGTGACTGGGCTGGCCAATCCTGGAGCACCTTGACCTTCTTTGTTTTTAGGTATTTTGATGTGAAGGCTGAAGTATGAGAAGGAGTGCTATCCTGCTGAAGAATTTGCCCTCTCTTGTGGTTTGTAATGTAATGGGCAGCACAAATGTCCTGATACCTCAGGCTGTTAATGTTGGCATCCTGCATCTGCAGATCTCTCACACGCCCTCATACTGAATGTAACATCAACCCATGATTTTTTTTCTTCTTCACCAAACTTGAATGATTTCTATGAGAATATTGGGTCCAAGAAGTGACTTGTGATGATTGGGATGCAGTTCAACAGAAGACTCATCTGAAAAATCTACCTTCTGCCACTTTTCCAATTGATCAACCAGAAGTCAAGTTGTTATTTGTTGCTCTTACAGCTGGGATAGAGCACTGATAATTTGAAGTGTTTCTTTTATCTTGCTTTGTAAGTTGCTTTGTATAAAAGCTTCTGCTAAATTAATTAATGTAAATAACACGTCATTTATCAGTTTATGTTGATAATATTAAAAATATATATATATATATATATATGGATTTCTCGGAGGCCCTTCCCTCTTATATGGTCACACTCCACCTCGGTTTCAAGCTTCATGTCATTATTGTGCTACCCACTGTGCCAACGTGACACCAACATGTATTTAGCATTGCCCAAATGATTGCTCTGAAAAAATGCATCCTAAAGCCACATGTCAACACATACTTTAGCTGAAGTTAAGTGGACTCAAGCTACACTCACAGTTAAAGCAACTTTAACTTTAAGAAAAAAAAGTGTAAAAAAATGTGTAACAGATTTTTTTTTTAAACTATGTCTATCTGGCATGCACATTAAACTTTTGGTGTGTTTTGTGATATTAATGTATATACATTTTTTCATTTCAGCAAATGTGTAGTTTACTCACCAGTAGGTGTTTCCTTCAGGAGTTCAGTACAGCGCTGGACAAGGAGACCAAACATAGCTAAACCCAGAGATATGGCCTGCTCTTCTAATGCAGACCGAGTTTCACCCTGTCCTTTGGCTGATAAAAAAAAAATGGCAAATTGAAACACAGGAAAGATTGTCAATGAACTGGACAGGATCTATGGAACTGGTAAAGTTTTTACCTCTGATCTGTGCGTTATAGATGGTGAACATGTTAATGGTGATGATCTGCAGCATGCGTGTGCTCCCGAGGGGGGAGGGGCTATGCTGGAGGAGGGCGCGAAACTCCAGTAACACTCGATTGGCTACAGCAGGGAAACTCTCCATCCTGAAGACCAATCATGACACATCATGCAAATGAGAATATTGTCAATCAATGCTCAAACTCAAATAATCTAAATTAATTTCTGTGGTAATTACCAGCAAGTAAGAGTTGTCATAAATTCAAAACATTCAATAAATACATATTTGATCATTATTATTTTCTTTCCTCTATTGCGGATTTCCCCCCTTTTTCTTTTGATTCAGTACAGCCCTTTGGGTCCACATTGTGCTATATTTAAATGTGCTTTAAACAAAGTAAACAGAGTAAAATATACCAATTGTGTAATTTAATCATTTTATAAAACAAATTCCCAGAATAAGCACTTTAAAATTGTCCAAAACCCTGAATAAAACATCTTTAAATTGAGCCGTATCTGACAAAATGAAGACTTACCCGACTTTTGTGAAGAGCTTTCCATGAGCGTGCAGAAAACTCAAAATAAATCTCTTATTGAGCTGTGAAGAAAATGACAAAAAACATGAGAAAATGTAATTTCAGCTGAAATTGCCGTAATAACAGCAACTACTCCTCGTAGTAAAAAAAATAAATAAATTGTTTTCTATTCTGAAATCAATAGCTGTGCAGTTATAAAGCCTTAACTAAACGATTAAAAATCAGACGACACAGGAAGAGGACATTGATTAGCTGATAAACCCGTACACTCTTACTTAATGAATCAGTGTATTGCCTGAAGGGGGATCAAAACCTGATAACCTTTGCAAAACACAAAGGGTGGAGGGGTCAACTTTCTGAAAGTGTGAGTGTGCATTTATTGCTGACGTGGTGAAATATCCAAGGTTACCGAAATGACGGCTGCATCACGGCACAATGACGCCCTTTTCTGCCACTGATGGGTGACTCATAGTCAGCCTCATCCTGTGCAACTCATAAACAACTCGATGTGACCTCTTTGGCTCTCCTAATGCACGCGGGGGTTTGCACTCGTGAGGCTGTGTGTCTATCTCTGTTTATGCCCACTTTCTGAAACGTTTTTTTGTGGCTCAGAGGAGTATTTCTGGCCTTAAGTGCAACAGGCTGTCAGCTTGGTCCTTTTTTTAACAGCGATATAAAAAAACCAAAATTTTATCAGTTTTTCAGCAGTTATTTTTTGTATAAGGGGTGAACAATATTGACTAAAAGACATCACAATATTACTCTTCTTTTTCAATAACAAAAAGGTAACTCTTGTTGGGGATGTTTTCATCCACTCGGGGGTGATTTTGAGTCTTAATTTGGCCACAACTTTCTGTGTTTCAAAAAATGAAATGATTTTTGGTGACAAATTTTATTTTGACCCATATGTTGGGAAAATGCTTTGAAAGATTTTAAAAACTCAATAGACTCTGGGCGAATTTACTACCCTTTTGTTATGTTCATGGCTGCTTTTGCCCCACTGCCCTATTTAACGCTATTAAAACGGCATTTTTTTTTTTTTTAAAGCAATGACACCATGTAATCATGCATCCTTTGTTTGGTGGTGGTTTTTCCTATTGTGAAGAGGTAAAGTTGGTAATTTTTACTGTTGATCAACAGTTGCAGTGCAAATAAAGCAAAGTTTACATGGAGCACAATGTGTGTGTGTGTATGTGTGTTATGTCTGAGAAACTCAAAATAAGCAGCTCAGCTCTCAGAACATAGTGTATTTATGCATACATTATCTATTATCTACTGTTTTACTTTATAGAACTGCATATTAAAGCAAGAAACTTTTTGCACAAGGTCTATCTAAAGGGTTAATTGTGCCAACTGTTGATCAACAGTAAAAAATGTTTACCTCCTTCTAACAGGGAAAACCACCAACAATCAAAAATGCATGATTATGTATAATAAATAAATGCTTGACTTTACAATCAAAATATGTTGTTATAATGGAAGTCAACGGAGCAAAAACAGCCATGAACATAACCAAGACGGAGTAAATTTGAACAATACACAAGGGTTAAAAAATATTTAGTTAATAGTGTTTTTCCACTGGTGTCTTTGCTGGTTTAGGAAATTTATTGATAAGTAAAAATGACACATGCATAAAAGGGAACTTATTAATTCAAATTATTTTTTTAAATCCACTGAATCACTTAGAAATAAACCAAGTGGCTGTCTTTGTGAATGCATCACTATATTATTCAATAACTGATCCATTCAATAGTGATTTGTTCATGACAAGTTCTACAAATGTTCAGTTCTAGGGTTGTTTGGAACTATTAACTTCTACAAAAAAAATGATTGTACCTAATTGTATAGAATGTACCTCATTTAATATTAACTTACAATATTATGCTCCAAATATATGTCAAAATACAAAACAAATAGATATTTTTTGCTTTCATAAAGGCATGGGACAATGACCAGTTTCAAGGTTTACTGTGGATTGGAAAAAACTAAATTTTCGGCTGTACGTCCAAACAAAAGAAAGATATCCAGAGATGCCTGAAGAAATCAGTGTTTTTGACAGTAGAAGTCAATGATTTATTTGAATTATTTGGCCTGACATGTTTACTGTTCCAAAATATTTAAAATGTTTAAAATAAAATATATTGTGTTCAATGGGACAAAAGACATTTAAAAAGAACTTATTTTAGAGCGGTAATTAATAACATGTAATAATAATAACATGTTGTTTTTATCCAAGGTTATCAAATTGTCAGAATCTTATACTTGCCCATGCCTACTTTTATAACTATATTATTATTTTGTTACATCAAACTGAAAATTTTTCAAGATGTTTGTTTGTTTGCAAAGTGATATACAGTTGTTCAACATACCCCCCGAAGAATTTGTTAAATGTGAACAATGTGAACAAAATTAGAGAGATCATACAGAATGCAAGTTATTTTTTATTAAGTACTGTCCCAAGTAAGATAATTTACATTAAATATGTTTACATAGTTCACTACACAAAAAAAACTAGCTGAAATTATTAAAATAATTAATAATTATGAATTATATATAGGTTAATTACATAAAGTTTTTTTTCTGAAGAACGGCAGTCAGATAAACTGTTGAGAACAAACAAGATACTGAAACAACCATCACAAAGCAAAAAAAGGCACTTCAGCAAACCACACACAGTACTGAAAAACAAGGGTGTGTAAACTTTTTGCTAAGGGTTATTTTAATAATTTCAGCTAGATAGTTGTGTAGTGAACAATATGTAAACATATTTCATGTAAAATATCTTACTAGGACAATACCAAATAAAAAATAACTTGCATTTTGTATGATCTCTCTTATTTTGTTTAAAATTTATCACATTTAAACAAATCCTTCAAGAGCTATGTAAACTTTTGAGCACAACTGTACTTAATAATGTTAGCTCCCTCATCCTTAAAACAACTTAAAACATTAACTTGTATCAAAAACATCTACGACTATGATAATATTTTACCACCTTTAGCAAGTTGCTTTTTATTTTTTGTAATTTCTGTGCAACAGTGAAAGTAAAAGAGTCTTTGGATAAAATACTTTAAATAGTGTAAAATCACCCAACTGTGATTTAAATGTGTCTAAACAACAATGTAAAAACTTAAAAAATAAAATAAAAATAAAAACACTCACATCACTTGCACTCAAAGCCCCCAACTCTCCGTCCTGCTCAGAGTCTTTTCCCGACTCACTGCCCGTTGGACGAGACGTGCCTGAAACCTCGCTTGGACGGATCCAGATCTCAACGCGGGCTGCATCTTCACCTCGGCGCCCACCAGTGTGGCCTTTAGGACCATGAGCACTTCCATCTGAATCCTGCTTTAGCCTACGCTCTACTTGGTCAGCCTGAGTCAGGTAAAATATACACCAATATAACACTCAGACACAGGAAGCTAGATTAATCTGCTTGAGCAACAGTGTTAACATGTGTACCTTGCGTTTGGCTTCCTCAAACAGACTCATCAGACTCTCCTTGGCTGTAAGGATCGGATTACTGGCAGCAAGACTGCGCATGTAATAGTATACAGCATCCAGCTTTCGCTTCTAAATGAGAGAAGTACTTGTTTACTTTTGTTTTTTTTAGCCATCATTTCTAATAACAAAACAAGCAAGAACTGAAAGAAAACATGTTTAGAGTAGACAAGATTTTTTTATTGTTGCCAGTGTGAGAAAGGATAGTTCACCCAAAAATTCAACTCCAAATGTTTATAAGTTCCTATTTTCTGCTGAACAGGATATTTTTTTAAACATATTGTTAGCCACTGATATCCACAGTAAGATTTTTTTAAGTCAATGGCTACTGGTTGCCTATACTCTTTTAAAATATCTCATTTTGTGATCAACAGATGAAAGAAGCTTGTTTGAAACAAGCGGAGGGTGGCTAAAGAATTTGGGTTGAATTATTCCTTTGACAGGCAAACTATTCATTTAAATATGTGCAAAAAACACAACATTTTACATTATAATACTGTTTTAAACTTGGAAAAAAAAAGGTGTTCAGGTCTCACCGTGTACACTGCTAACAGGGCCAGCTGGTTGTAGGGCCGTCCATTTTTTGGAGCAATCTGTTGAGCTTTTAGATACCAACTACACATGAGAAAAAACAAATACATGGTTAACATGATAAAATGAACACATTAAAGTTGCAGCATGTAAGTTTCACCTCTGATTTAACTACTGGTAGAAATTGCACTCCAGTTTCAAAACACGCAAATACAGGTTGCCAGATTGATGACACCAACAGGAGTGTACCTGACTATCGAGGCTAAAGGCTGATTTAAGTGGAGTTTTCCATATTTAAGTGAACATTTTCCATATTAAAAGGAGTTTTTGTCCTGACAAACACCTGAAATTTATTAGAAACGACTTTATTTCTTAATGAGAATGTACCTGCGTGCCTTCCCGTAGTTAGCGGATTCACTAGCCTGTTCTCGATACCGTGCGATATCCCCTTGGCAGATCATGCAGCGCTGAGCACTGATCAGAGCATACTTCACCTGCAACAAGGCAGAGGATTCACAGTCACATTTGTTTTCTTTAGGATGGTTATTGCAGCTCATATTCATCACATTATATTGTTAGAAAGTGTGTACCGTCTTGCGCAGAGGTCTTGCTCGTATAGCCATGCAGTCCATATAGTCCTGCAGCTTGAACTGAAACACAGACTGCAACTTCTGCAGCAGCGAATCAAAGAATACTGCCCCCTAAAGCAAAATAATATTATTGCACCTTAACTTGTGACTGCATCAATCATAAATAATGTTAGAAAAAAAAATAACAAAGCTTTTAACAACTTTTATAAAGACCAACTAACATCTTATTAATCTTATATGTAAAAACAAATGAGTTTTTGTAAGTTGATTCATTAGTTTCATTGTGTATGGATTTGAGTAAAATATTAAAGGGGGATATTTCACCCAAAACAGGGTTTCTGCAGGTTTCACTGAGTAAAATTTAAGACTTTAAGACATTTTTAAAACAATTAAGAATTACATTTTAAACGTATACAGGGCTAAAAGCTACAGATTTTTTTCGACTATCGAAGTTAGAAAAGAGTTTTACTTTCCCTATCAAAAAAGTTATTAAAATTAAAAACATTTAATAATTTAGTTTGAGTTTTTTTGTATTCATTTTTAAATATATCCATTTACAAATCCTATAACTCTTACCAAGAACAGAACAAAACATAACTGTAAATTACTTCAGTCCACAATATTAATAATTTAATAATAAAAAATATAGGTCAGGTCAGTATCCTCAGCAGTAACATTTAAGAAAATGTTACTAAAAGTAATTACATTTTTTTTTTAGATTGAATGGGTGTTAATGGCCAGATTGGGTAGCTATACATGAACATAAGAAAATTAAGACCTGTTAAAAAAGATTTAGGACCTACAACACAACTTTCAGTAGATTTAAGACTTTTTAACACCCCGCGGGCACCCCACAATTCCATAGTAGGGAAACAAATCCTAGAGAAGTCAATGGTTACAGGTGTTTTAGCATTTTTCAAAATATCTTCTTTTCGGTTTAACAGAGAAAAGAAACTTTGGAACAAGTAAAGGGTGAGTTTGTTTGTTGGTTCATTTATTGCAACAACAGCAACTTATGGCTATTCTATGGCAAGATCAACATACATAAAAACCTTACATGATAAGAACTTCATATTTCAATAAGAGATGATACACAAACAAATATATAATAGAAATACGTAAAAATCACAAAATAAATGTATATTAAAAGTTATATATGATTTTGCAGTTTAATTTTTAACCAAATAACTTAAAATTCTTCCTGGCAATACCTTTTTTAAAACATCAAAGTATTTTTATTACATAAATCAAAATGTTTAATGGTAGTAAAGGGTGAGTAAATGATGACAGTTTTCATTTTAGGGTGAACTATACCTTAATATTTGTATACCTATAACATTTAATGCTATTTCCAAATACAAATACTAATTTTTTATGTTTTTTTGTAAGAAATGTCATGAGTACTGCACAGAAAAAATAAAATAAAATTACATTTAACTTAAATACAGAACCATAAATTCAAGTGGTCTAAATGTATATACATAGCTTTATGCAAGCTATCATTCAAATCTTTGAGGTCAGTAAATAAACTGCATTTATTTGATCAAATACAACAAAAATAATACTATTGTGGAATGTTCTTGCAATTTAATTTTAATATATAATATATATCATATATTAATTATATTAATACATATCATATATTTGAAAATAAAAAAATATCTACCTCTTCCAGAATGGTCATTAGCATGGTTTTAATCTGTGGGGCTGTGTCTGAGTTTTGATCCTTCAGCAGCTGCCTGAACCTCTCTATCACCTGGTAAAACACATTCTTCCATAGAGTCTGATCCACGTTCTGAGAGTCAGAGAACTCAATGTCTGTCAAAATCACCCGCTCGTATATTGTCAGGAGCTCAGCCCTGGAAGGACACCAAAAGAGAAAGAAACAAATCAGAGGAAAACCTCATGAGGCTGGCCAATATTATAAGTAGCAACAGTAATATGACAAATTTCAGTTTTGAATGCAAACCTGAGCTGGGCCATCCTCTCCAGGCCCTCCTGGCTCAGACGTTCACGCGACAGCAAGTTACTGAGCTGGAGTTCCTGACTGTCAGCCAGCCGAAGAAACTTCCCCAGCTCTCCTCTGGTCTGCACCTCCGCCTCCTCTGGAGTCAAAGCAGATACCGTCGGAGAAGGGTAACCTGGCCCACCCTGTCCGTAGGGTCCATAAAAAGATGTCATAGCAGAGGCGGGATACATCCCATTAGAGCCTGGTATTTGGTAGGGAATCTGATACGGGTATGGATATCTTGGCGGGGTGTTTGGGGAATTGGCTGACACAGGATAGCAGTAGGGATTGTCCGAATTCTGGAACTTGTAGTACGCCATAGCTGCAGCCTGCTGATTTTGAAAGAACTCCCCCTGGCGGACTGGCGGACTTCCTACGGTTTCGTCATCAGTGTCAAGAAAGTGTAGCGGCCCACATCCACCCTGCTGTAAATACAAAGCCTGGTGTTGAGATGCATGCTGGGATTGTTGGCTTGACACCAGTGCTGGTTTCTTATCTGGGTTATTTGGGTCCCACAGACGTCTGGTCCCTCCTCCACGGCCGCCTCTTCCTCTGCCCAGGCCCATTCCTCCTCTCATTCCTCCAAGTGGAGGTGCAGGATCAGGGGTCTGTGTTAGGTCGGTGTGGGCAGGAAGCACCAGGATGCCTCTACCACGACCTCTAGTGCTTTTACGGCTTGCTTGCTCCTCACGCTTGTCTAAAGACACTCTTAAGATCCCTCCTTCCTTCCGAGTGCTGCTCTTGGCTTCTTCAGCAGCTCTGCTTCTTCTGCCTTCTCGCTCCCACACCTCGTTTTCCTCGAGCGAATCTGTGGAAGACAAGGTACGGGCCGTGCGTCTCCTGGAGCGGGTTTGACCTCCTCGGACGAACTCCCTCTGTCCCGTGGCTCTCTCTAAAGTGCGTGCAGAAAACTGCTGACCTTCTGCTTTCAATCTCTCGGCTTCAGCAAGACCATCCATACTGGTCCCGCTACTGGCCGAACTGGTGCTGTAGGTGCGGTTTCGAGGCCGCCGGATGTCTGATTGAGAGTATCGCTTTGAAGCAGCGTTAACTCGCTTTGAATCAGTTCGCTCAGATGGTTTTCCTTTCTCTTTTGGCCGGTTCCCTTGTTGTTTTTCGTGGTTCAAATTCTGGTCACGACTTGCCTCTTTGGCTCCGAAATTTCTCTGCTTTCTTCCTTCAAGATGAGGGGCTTCTGAGGCTTTTCCCCCTGCCTCCCCTTCCTCTTTCTTGTCAAAAACCTGATTGTTACCTTTCTCTTTTCCAGGTCTGGATTTCCCATTACCTCTCTCCTTTTTTTTGTCTTCTCCCATTCCTCGATTTGCTCCTCCTGTCTGGATTTTTCGGCCTTCTTCAGAATGTTTAATCTGGTTTGTATCATCCTGCCTATCTCTGTCTTTACTTTCCACAGTCTCTAAATGAAGATTGCTGACTTTATTGCTGATATTCTCAACAGCGTTCTCAGTTTTGTTTGCAGAGGGAGTTTCTACACTTGCTTGCTTTTTCCGGTCATTTTTACCTCGCCTGTTTTTACGCTTTTCCTCTTTCTCACACTTTAATGGTGTTTCAATAGATTTCCCATCCACTTCTTCCTCTCTACTTCGATCCCTGTCTAATTCTTTGCTTGCCCCGACCTCTTTGTTTCCCTGAGATCTTCTCCCGCCTGGTTGATATATCTGACGATCAGGTTTGCGCATTTTTCGTGACTGCTTCGGGGATTTGGGCGTACCAGCTCTTTCAATGATTTTAACAGCATTTTCATCCACTAGTTTGTGTTTATCACCACCTATATGTCCATCAGTTTTATGATTGGTTTCTGGTTTACTGTGGTCATTTAGATAGTCTTCATTGCCTGTGCCAGGCATGTAAGAGCATCCAGGACTAGTAGGAGACTCGTCTGACATTTTGGGGTCATTACCAAAACCATCGGGTTGAATCAAAGTATCTGAACCGGCTCCTTCTACACTGTCCATACGCCTGTTTGGATGGCCAACCCCAGGCTTGTACAACTGCAAATCTGGGCGTTTACTGTCTCGCTGACGTTGCTTCTTACCCTCCTCTCGCAAGTCTGAGGAAAAAAGGCAGAAAATGTTTCTTTATAAAACTTATTGGCTGAAGAGTACATTAGGGCTGTGTTTTGACTCCAATCATTATCATTTTGACCAATTCATTAGACTGTTTAATCAATTACTTCTAAATCAGGGGTGACCAAACTCGTCCTGGAGGGCTGGTTTACTATAAAGTTTAATTACAACCCCGATCAAACATACTTGGGCTAGCTAATCAAACTCTTACTGAGATTTCAAGCATCCATGCAGATTAGTTGAGACAAAATCTGCAGGACACCGGCTCTTCAGGACTGAGTTTGGACACGCCTCTGCTAAATCAATCCAGTGTTTAGACTACACAATATCACAATACCTGATTTTGAATTGATCTTTAAAAATAGGTTAAATGGGCCTAAAAAATTGGCTAAAATAGGTCAAAAGATAAAAAAATATAAAGTACTACTCACAATATTTACATTTACATTTACATTTAGTCATTTAGCAGACGCTTTTATCCAAAGCGACTTACAAATGAGGACAAGGAAGCAATTTACACAACCAAGAGCAACAATGAATAAGTACTAAAGGCAAGTTTCAGGTCTGTAAAGTCTAAGAAGGGAAGTGTTAGTAGTTTTTTTTTTTTTTTTTTTTTTGTTTGTACAATTAGTGTGATATTCAAAGAGGCAATTGCAGCTTAGGAAGTGAAGTGGAGACAATATCTATTCAATTAAACGTTTCAGCTCATTAAAACTAGAAAATTTATGTTTAGGCTTCTTTAATATTTTGTTAATTTGGTAATCACTATTGAGGGTTGAATTAAAATAATGATTATCTTGATTATTAATTTCTTTGGCAATTAAACAATATTTAATTATTTAATATGTTTGTTTAAATTGAATGAATAATCCAAGACTATGATGCAACAAAAATCATGCTTAAAATATGGGAAATAATAGGATTTATTATTTTTATAACAATATAACAGAGAAGTTTTATACGTAAACAAGCTATAATTTAAAGGGTTAAATCTTTAAATGAATGTCATTATTAGGAATTAAATTATGCAAGTGAAATAGAAAAACATAAATTTTGTAATTTAACAAATTTTGTCAAATATATATATCACTTTTTATTATTAATAAATAGTTGAATAATAATCTTTAATCTTCCAGGCTTCCTAATTGAGAACCACTGCTTTCAAAAAGTCACACACATATATACTACTTCAAACGAGACATAAAAAGATCACGATATTTAACGTTAATGCATTAATTATTCGGGGGAAAAAGAATATTATTATGGATCCTGAGAAAAATAACCTGTTGCATGTCCACCGTAACATGTTAACCCAGAATTAAACACTGACGAAAAACATACATGGAGAAATAGTGAAGCTGTGATGTCAAGTTGATGAGCTGAGGATAATAAACACCTCCTTTCAAATAAAGACTCAACGTCAACGTTACTTCAAAAAGTTGGCAGGTTCAGTGACGAGTTAAGTTAGTTAGCATTACATTTGGCCCTTAATACAACCCAAGATGCGTATTACTTCTGTTTGATTTGTGTTATGTAACACAGCAGAGCAGGTTCGTTATTATGTAGCAGCAAAAACACGCAAAATGTGCTGAAGCTTTTTTATTTTCAAAACAAGCGCCGTTCAGCCCACATGAGCGACGACTGTTGGTAACTGTTATGCTAGCTAGCTATTAGCAAACTCAGCCCTAAGTTTGACATGACATGTCAAATACAGCTCGTCTTCGACTGCTTCCATTCTAAGACTGTTATAAACATTTAGAGAACCTCAAACCTTTCACATCATCGCCGTGTATGTTGAAACTCGACGCTTGTGCTCGCAGCTCCGCAGCTGAAATTCGGACCCTTTCCAGTTCGTCCGCCATTTTCGTCGGAACCAAACACAAACACACGGCGAGTTGACAGGACCAAAAAGCCATTTTACCAAAACGCGTTTAAAAATGAACACACGACAATGCGAAGTAGGTGGCCTGGTTTGCTGGTTACTTTAATTACGGCTTAAACGCAATTATAGGTAGGTAATACAACTCTAAAAAGCGGAAATAACAGACTCGTAGCCAGCCTTGTGAAAGGGGTGATTCGCCAAATTTTCTATACAACTATGAGGTTTAAAAACTTCATTTTAGTGACAGGACTATTTTTTCAGCATTAGTTTGTCGGCATAACCACATTTTTTCATGTACCAAAAACATTTCCTAAAGATTTATAATAAAAAAAAATGAAAAAGCATAAATGTTATTTTTAAAATACAGATTTATCACATCATATATTATTAGGCAGATAACACACTAGCCAGCACAACTTTATTCAATCAGAATTTGGGCATTTGAATAAAAAAAAATTTAAACGTAAAATGAGAATCAGCACCTCCAAGTCCGAGGCCATGGTGTTTCACTGGAAAAAGGTGGTTTGCCATCTCCAGGTTGGAGGAAAGTCCTAACCTAGGTGGAGGAGTTTAAGTATTTCGGGGTTTTTTTCACAAATGAGGGAAGGATGGAACGTGACAGATAGATTGGTGCAGCGGCAGCAGTAATATGGTCGATGTACCGGTCCATTGTGGTGAAGAAGGAGCTGAGGCGAAAGGCAAATCTCTCGATTTACCGGTCAATCTACGTTCCTACTCTCGCCTATGGTCATGAGTTTTGCGTCATGACCAAAAGGACAAAATCTCGGATACAAGTGGCCGAAATGAGTTTCCTTCGAAGGGTGGCAGGGCGCACTCTTATGGATAGGGTGAGGAGCTCTGACACCCGGGATGAGCTCGGAGTAGAGCCGCTGCTCCTCATCGAGAGAAGTCAGCTGATGTGGCTCGGGCATCTGTTTCGGATGCCTCCTGGGTGCCTACCTAGGAGGGTGTTCCAGGCATGTCCCACCAGGAGGAGGTCTCGGGGAAGACCCAGTCTCTCGGCTGACCTGGGAAAGCCTCAGGATCCCCCCAGGAGCTAAAGGAAGTGTCTGGGGAGAGGGAAGTAGGGAGAAGGAGAGGGAAGTCTGCCCCCGCAGATAGACGGAAAAGCAACAGAAAATGAATGAAAGAATAATAATAATAATAATGTAGAGCTTTCTGATTTTTTCTAGGAACACTTGTAAAAAGTACATTTGAAAATGCATGGATAACAACAACAGAAGCCTAATTGGTATTAAAATGAACTTTTATATGCTTCAAAATTAACTTTCGATGTTTCACACCTTTTTATTGGTAATTTTCTTTCTTCTAAGATTAAGGTCCAAGATTTAGAATTAATGTAGCCTAAAATGTGTTCGCTATTTAAAAACAAAACAGCAGGTCAGTAGTGAAAGATGATTTCACTTACATCAGATTCTTCTTGGTCTTAAAGCCTTCTTCAATGAGTTATTTTAACAATTTATGATGGCAAAGCAGTTAAAATAGGACAAATGTAATGAGCTCATATATGGGACAAACTCTGGACCCTTGTCAGTGAGAGGTGGGTCTACCAAACGAAAAAGCCTTGGTTATAGAGGTCTTACAAGAATTAATAAAAAAAAAAGTTTAAATATATAGAAACTGAATGTGTGTACATCTTCAGTTATCATTTGTATGATACAAAAACATTTAAAAGAAATGTACTTTTTTAATAATAATTATAGTTAATAAATGTACCAATATTTTAAAATAAACAAAATGGAACAATATCATATTTTAATAAACAACTTGAGGAATTAAATAGGGGAATTTAACAGACAAATACACGCACACACGCACTCATGCACACACAAATACATTTATATACATTAAATAGTACTTACATGACAATGTGAAGTGGGTGGCCTATTTTTTTTTTCAGGCAATTTTTTTAGGGCTTAAATGCAATTATAGTAAGATAATAACTCCAAAAAAAAAGCAAAAATAATGAAGAGAGCATAACATAAATTCAAACAACTATAATTCGCCTTCATACATTCTAAAAAAATGCTTGGGTTCCATATAATCCCAACTTAAATCGATTAAGTTAACTTGAGGTTTTTACAATTTAAATGGATTGAACATAAACTAATAAAACTATCTCCTCCCCAAAAATCCTCAAGAACTGTGTTGATTCAGCTCATTTTAAATAATCAGTTTAAACAGGAAGCAACTGGGTGTGCAAATTAACATTGTAAACATGTACATCCAATAAAATAATATCAATAATGATAAGGAAACATCCAGTCATTTATTTTCATTCGGCTTAGTCCTTTTATTCATCAAGGGTTACCACAGCGGAATGAACCGCCAACTTATCCAGCATATGTTTTACAGGGGATGCCCTTCCAGGTGCAGCCCAGTACTGGGAAAGGATATGATACAGTTGATTTAAATTAATAACTTTAACAAAGATTAACTAATGGGACATAATGCACACAGTAGAGCTAAAAGTTAGTTTTAGCTCTACTATAAAAGATCTGGGTGTCATATTAGACAGCAATCTAACTTTTAAAAACCATATATCCCATGTCACAAAAACTGCCTTCTTTCATCTGAGAAATATCGCTAAATTACAAAATATGCTATCCATCTCAGATGCAGAAAAGCTAGTCCATGCTTTTAAGACTTCGAGACTGGATTACTGTAATGCTCTATTTGCTGGCTGCCCAGCATCCTCTATTAACAAACTTCAATTAGTACAATTAGTCAATTAGTCCTCAGATTATGCGGAGTCACTGATTGGATCCAAGACCAGCGACGAGATGATCCCAAGGATTCCATATCCGGGACCAGGCCATATCCTGAGCTGCTGCTGCGCTGATGGTCGTGGGGAGTGGAGAACATGAGTCTGATTCCAGCGACGCTCCAGGGACAGACGAGTCTTCGCTGAGGCCATCTTCCAGCCTAAACCACGGCGAATGAAGCTCTGCACAAGACTTTTGGCCAGCGGAGAAATTAAAATGGTCGTGCCCAACTGAGTCTGGTTCCCTCAAGGTTTTTTTTCTTCACTTCCATCAGGTGAAGTTTTTTTCCCTCTCCGCTTTCCCCACTGCCTCGCATGGTTCAGGATTGGTAGAGCTGCGCATCGATGAATTTGCTCTTCAGTGTTTGAACTCTCAGTAATGATTAAATCACACTGAACTGAGCTAAACTGAACTGAACTGAACTTAAACACTAAAACCTGAACCACACTGTTCCAGTTACTGAACCACACTGTTCCAGTTACTATGACCATTTATGTGAAGCTGCTTTGACACAATCTACATTGTAAAAGCGCTATACAAATAAAGCTGAATTGAAATTGAATTGAATTGAACACAGTCTTTTAATTTCAGGGCTACCCACTGCGCCACCGTATCGCCCCATGTCTTAAAAATATAAAAAATTTATTTTACCCCAGCATTTTCAATAGAATTTCTGTGCTAGTCTGCTGCTAATGACGGCGCATGTGTTTAAACTGTCTTTTGTCTCTTTTTAAGCTTTAACAACCCAATGGATGCTTCAGTCTATTTAACTGATTATATTTGAATTACATTACAACATCAATGCTGTAAAATTGAAAATAGACACAGAAAGCTCTCACCAGAAGTTCATCATTGGCTGAAAAAAAACTAGCTGTGCATATAGTCCATTAGCACTAAATTAAATGTCATATTCATTGCGAGTTAATGTTCTTTATAGCCTTTAATGTTGAAACAATTAAAAAAAACTTTTAGATCTTACATAAACTAGTAAAAAATAAAATCTAGATTAGAAACTGAATGTGCGTACATCTTCAGTCATCATTTATTATTCATAAAAATTCTAAATAAATGTGTAATAAGAAATGTGATTTTTAATAATATTAATAATAATAATATTATAATAATTAAAAAATATAATCATATTTAAAATAAATAAAATGAAACAATATTATATATTAATAAACAACCTGAGGAATCAAATAGGGTTATTCAACAACACACACACATATAAATACACACATGTTACTATACATTAAATAGTACTTACATTTATGAATAAAAAATATATACAGTTAGGTCCATAAGTGTTTGGACATCGACACAATTCTAACTTATTTACATGCATACATACATGCATACATGCATACATACATACATACATACATACATACATACATACATAAATACATACATACATACATACATACATACATACATACATACATACATACATACATACATACATACATACATACATACATACATACATACATACATACATACATACATGCATACAGTTGAAGTCAGAATTATTAGCCCCTCTTTAAATTGTTTTTTCTTTTTTAAATATTTCCCAAGTGTCCTTTAACAGAGCGAGGACATTTTCACAGTATGTCTGATAATATTTTTTCTTATGGAGAAAGTCTTTTTTCTTTTATTTCAGCTTGAATAAAAGCAGTTTTTAAATTTCTAAAAAAACAATTTGGGTTCAAAATTATTAGCCCCTTCTATCTTCTATCCGTTAAACAGAAATTGGTGAAAAAATAAAGAGGGGGGCTATTAATTCTGACTTCAACTGTGTGTGTGTGTGTGTGTGTATATATATATATATATATATATATATATATATATATATATATATATATATATATATATATATATATATATATATATACAGTATATAGATATATTGATGTGCTTTAAATGTTGACTGTATACCTATACACAATGGCGTACATCTTTATTTGACATTTGTTTGATTAATTAAGTATTCTAAGCAAAGGACATTTATTAAATTCGATTTTTGATATTAATCAAACATTAATAATCCATACAAAACATGTCAGTTCAAAATTATATATTTTTAAAGTCACATAGTATGAAATTAATTATAATACATTTATTGATTTACTTTTGGATTTGATTTAGGTTTCTAAAGACTGAATAACTGCTAATAACAAACTTTAATTTGCTTAATATCTCTTTCTCTCACTCACTTAGAAAAATATTC